GCATGTTGATTGTTACTATTTTTGTTTCGGGAGAGGGGGGTGCTATGTTACGGCACTCTGGCTTAACCCTAAGGGGGCGAAATTTGTTTACGCGACCCAAGAAGTTATTACTTTTTAGCCTGGAGCCTTGCGCATCTTTCGATACCAACATTATAAAAATTGGACTACGGGTAGCCGCGCAACGAAAATAATTCCGTCGCTACGCGCCACTGAATTTCCCCATATACGGAGTGTACACAGAGCAGAATTATCATTCGTGCATATGAATAATTAATTAGACATAATTCCAAAACCCTATGACCTATAGTCATGAAACTTCTTGGCTATATTCATGATAAGTTGTTCTATGCATGTAAAAGGTTTGATAATTTTTCGTTACTCGATGGCCGAGATCTTGGAGGGGTCGGAATTCCCCCGGTTCTTTTAGGGTTAAAAATATCCATTATTTCAGTACCTTCCGCTGTGCTACAACTGATAATGTAGTAACCAACCGATAATGTATCACAAATTGACCGATATTGTATCACTAACCGATAATGTAGCAAAAATTGACTGATAGTGTAGTAAAATTTGTATTCGATAATGTATCACGTGTCGACGGATAATGTAACTACAAAATAACTGTATCCAATAATGTATCACCACGGAACGGATACTGTATCAACCGATAATGTATCAAATATCAACCGATAATGTATCCGTATAAAAGGGTTAGTTTGTGATGACTTCACATTCGAAAAAAGAAAGATTTTCATGAATATATTGTATGTGTGGAGTTTAATCTGTTTATAAAAGGGAGGCACACCTTTTTTATGGGGGCATCATGACTACCCCCCCCCCCCATTTTACTATGGCTGCCACGCCCCTAAAAGGGTGTGTTTGCGATGGCTCCACGTCTGAATTTTTTTCTCGCGAATATTAACGTTTGTGGGAATTAGTTTCATTCGTCTATAAGATGTGGGCACATTTTTCCCAAGGTGGGCATAATATTTACCCCCTCCCCCTTTTTTTTTTAAATCGCCCCTAAAAGGGTAAATTTGCGATGGGTCTACATCTAAAACATTTTCTCGCATGAATATGAACATCTGTGCCAAGTTTCACACTTTTATGCAAAAGTGCACAATTCATCGATATTTTGCCACATATCCGCTGGACTAATAGCCAATTTATTCAGATTAAAAACTATTTAAAGTTCGACAAGTTCATCATATTTATATAATTGCAAACTGTTCAACAGGTTGACAACAATCATCTTCAATTTATCTTAATTTAAAACAGCGCCACTACTGGAAGCAGTGACACCGTGCAATGGAAGTTCTATTCACCGTGCAATATAACTTCCATTGCACTGTGCGCCGCGCGCGCGTCGTGCGTTGGTACGAATCATTCAATGGCATGTGATCAACGATCCACCAATCAGATGACGGGGATTTATTCAGGTGTTGTATAATGTAAACTATGAGGGTGTGCGACAACAGCAGGTATTAATCTCGTTGGGGACTGGGGTGCTTCTGAAATAACCGTTTGTTCGTCACGGTGAAGTCAGCCAGTATGCTCAGACCGTCTGCATTAGTGGTTCTAAAGATAAACCAACTTTATTTGTGAAATTGTTGCTCCGATTAATTACCCCCGGTTCAGACAGGCGTTCCAGAGTCGCGCCGAACCAAATAGATTACGAGCGACTCCAGGTCAACCTAATTAGATTTTTTGGTTTCAGACAGGTGAACTTAATACATTGGAGTATTGTGTACAAACCAACAAATATGGGATCTTAGCAACAAGCCGGTATTGTGCAGTGTCGATTATGTATCGGCTGCGTGCGCGTTCCTCCATTACGCAAACGCCTGGCCGTGTAATACGTAATCGATGCATGATCCACGCATCGACGCTGATTGAGAGCGTACTGCGCGAAATGCGCGCGTATCGAAGAAGACAGCTAGCACCATAGCACGCACGCCATGTACGCTCACGTTATCTCTTGCACGTCACGCCACTTACAAACAATTTCAAGACTGCGCCGTGCCTGTGCAATATGGATACTGGGAGTCTCGGTTTTCCGCTTCAAAAAAATGTATCTTGTGTTGTATTGGGGCGACAGTGGGACGTACATTTATTGTAAGTTTTTGCTCTGTAACACGACATCGAAATCTCGTGCTTGGATTAAATCTGCAAAAAGAAAACCTTCAAATTATATGCATTGCGTCGCGCGTTAAACGCATCGCCTGCAGTCCTAATATCTTTGAAGGTCACTAATTATTTACATACATTTACATACATTTGCATTGAGTTCGGCTCATGACTAGAGCGACGTCTGAAACCAAGTCACTCCTGAGTCGTTCTAACGACTCCAACAGTCGATCTTTCGCCATCGAGCGCGTCAAGTCGCTCCTAATTGTTTCAGACGTCGGACTTTTGACGCACTTATTTCAAATCAAGACTTTTATTCGGTTCGGCGCGACTCTGGAACGCCTGTCTGAACCGGGTGTAGGCTCTGATCCTCACGAGGAGAAAACCTGACGGAGTGACTGAGTTTAAGTTTACCAGATTCTAAATTGACCTAGTTAAGTTGCGTTGCATTGGTGATTTGCACTTGAAACTTGAACTACTCGGGGTTACAGAACTGAACCAGTGCCCCATAATGGTTTGTTGGAATTGGCAGTAAACAAATCGTATTCGTTCATATTTAAAACTTATCTTGGAGTGATTGCGTGGCTTTGTGGTGGACGAATTTTTCAGCTAACTCGTGAGGTCCGGTCGTTGGTTTTGCATTATGCGGATACTACTTTTGACATAAGACATCAATACTTTCGAAATGAATATATTTGTTTATTGATGTAGAATTTACCATGAGCGGCCTTATTGACTGCCCGTTGCCTGTGAGAGAATTTTCCTACATTAATCACGGCACATACAGTACTCAGTACATGCAGTTATTGGGTCGTGCTGAACTTTTCGCCATCAACCACGTAACCGCACCTGTGTGGCACAATGTTGTAACCAGATTCAGGAAACCATTCTTATTGGTCAAACTTTTTTGTAACTGTATATTTTTTACCAACTTGAGCCAGCCTGAGTTCCAATTCTTTAGGTCCGAGTAATAACGGTAATAGACCGTGAAAACTACGGGAAATGGTTTTGTTTACAGTGGGTATAGATGGAGGGAACTAGGAACCAACGTCTTGAAAGAAAAGATCATCCTTTATCATCGGCCGGGAAATACTTCCAACTGTAATATGGTCCGCCCGATAGTCCGAAGGTTCGATAGTCCGAAGGTTTATTGGTCCGAAGGTACGATAGTCCGAACGTACACATTTTCCACAACCGGGGGTTTTAGTCCAAAAATGAAAACAGGTTTGTTAATCCGAACATTTGATGCGATAGTCCGAAGGTTTATTAGTCCAAACGTTCAATAATCCAAAGGTTCATTTATCCAAAGGTTCGGTATTCCGAATTTAGAATTAGGAACTAAAACTGAGCGGAGGAGAAAACATTCTTGTTTGTATGCATTTGTAATCTACAAGAATACAATCGAATTGTCAACCGAGGTGCTTGCAAAATCAAACTTTATTGTCTCTCAATCTGAGCACAAACAAAATCTTGGTATGCATGTGATGGAAAGCTACCTGAACATTACAACAAACTTTCAAATTCTAATCAATATTATATTTCCAAAGGCTCGCATCCCCTTCAAGTGCTTTTAATCAAATATCTGTTCATCAAAAGTACTAAATTTGGTAACAATGTTACGGAATTAAACAGACATGCATTCGGTAGGAAAAAAATCAAATAAGTTGAGAGAGATTGAAAAATAGGCAAACTTACCGACACTCTGTCATTGTACAAGTCCGGGTAACACTTTGAAAAAGATTTTAAAAAGTGGAAGATATAAAACCAGATTTAATAGTCTCATTTCAACTTGTAATTACTGATTTCAAAGTTATATCATACGCCACAGGGGTGGCAACACCGCAGAATTATTGTCCATGTTGCAGTACATGTAGTAGTAATGTTAGGCTTGGCCCAAGACGCTATTGATCGATGGTGGGCGGTGCAAAGTGCGCCCTCTAATGGCACAACAATTAAACCAGCGGGCCTACTCGCACTATCATCTCGGCCATTTCGTTTTAATGGTTTAACATTTCTTCATTTTGTCCCTAGGCTTTCCTGGGGAACCAATCAGCGATCGAGAAAACGGTTCAATTGCTCGCCCAATGGTTGTTAACATACGCGCTATTGAAGTACCTGATCAAGCATCATCGCTTTCTTATCCAAGCTTTCCTAGGGAACCAATCAGCGATCGAGAAAAGGTTCAATGGCTCATCCGATGATTAAAATGTTTGCGATGATCAAGCATTGACCCTATAAACAGGAACTGAAAGAAAGTTTTTACAAAATGCAACTATCGCTCTTGATCACTGACGTCTTTGGCCAAGACTATATAATGTAAGTCGTAAAATGATGGCTGATTGAATTAGTTTCAAATTCATTGAACAGTCTAGTTTTTATTTCTTTCTAGGGGAAGAATTAACCCTCGGAGCACTTTTTCAAAAAGATCACATCGGGGAACCACGTAGAAAATGTTATCACCACATGTGTTTACAGGTCAATAACCCTGGCATGCCTGTACATGCACAAGATATAGGTCATTCACATTGCCAGGGATTGTTTACAAACTGTCTGGGCTCCTGGCGGCACGAGGGGTTGACACAAAGGGATCGGCGGCGCGCGTAATTTTTATTCCTAGGAGGGTTAGGGGCAATGTCATGAATAATTCATGTTTATCCATGAGAACGGACAATGACATCAACAGCATTGTTGTTAGTTACTCAACTAGTTACAATACATTAAAGCATTTTAACAGTAGCCTAGTGGATAGCGAGATGAGCTATGGATACAAAGATCCCTGGTTCGAATCCACGTCGTCGCTGCTCATTTTCATCAGCTATTTTTCTTCTCCAAATGTATCAATGAGATAATTTTAAATTAAGGGGAAAATTGAACGAAAGTCTTGCAATGATTCAAAGGCAAAACTGAATTATTCATGACATTGCCCCTAACCCTCCTAGGAAAAAAATTACGTCGGCGGCACTTAGGGCTGGCCACTAAGATCTCCAATTACTACACAAAGGCATTGGGCGCCATCTTGGCTTCTGTCTTTCAACACTCCTTACTCCGGAGTGGCTAGGGTCTGGCCAATGGGAGTCTACAGGCTTGTAGTGTGTAGTAGAGGTGAGGATTACATGGAAGCTTGGCCTAAGTGGCCCATTGAAAAAAAAATATGCCCATATTTGGAAAATGTGGACTATAAAACTACCGTCGGACTGCTCGGAGGGTTAATAGGTGAAAATCACTACAACTGATTCTTTTTTCCTGTGTCATGTCAAAAAGATGAAGCTCATTCCAATCCCAACGAAATGTTTTAGGAATGGTAAGATGTTAAAGGCATTTGTGTTTTACATGATTTATTCATTAAATGCAGCCTTGGCAGAAGCATTCTATTGAGTTATGATATTTTATCCTACGGGCAAAGGGTAAACATACATAGTAAGGTCCGGTCGTTTCAATACTGGTCCATCAACATTATTATCGAGTTGTTCATTGTCTGCAAAGATGACAATCTAGAAAAATTTCATAAACTGTAAAACGTATAGCGACCTAAAATGTATGTTGAAACTTTACATGAAAGCACAATCGAACCTCAAATCTCCAAATCTGCACATTAATGTATTAGTACAAGCATCTACAATTTCCCGAGTTAATTTAAGTAAGGCATCCTTTCAGATTATATCATATTAGAAATGCCGTTTGTGTCTTAATATACTATGAATCATCTAGACAGCAATGATCTTCTTGACTGTTTGCGACAAGCCGGCCGCGTTAATTGCCGTCAACGTCAAGTGGTAGTCGGTGTAAGGTGCCAGCGGTGAGACACGCATACCAGTCTCAATTGTCTCCACCCACTGCATGACGTCACTACCTCCTGGGATGGTACCCAGCGATACCTCATACACCAAAGTGGAGGAAGAGGAGGGGAACAAGCCATCCCAGGCAAGATGAACTGTCGTGTTGCCCAGCGAGGAGGACCTGAGCAGACTTGGCGCTATTTCATAAAGAAACATCAATCCAAAGGCAGGTGGTTATGTGAGGTGGTTGGGTAGACAGGTGCATTTTAGGGGATGTAACCTTTACGGTGGTACCAAGTTAGTAGATATGTGCTTGAACCTACCAATTAGCGGCAATTAAATTGAGATTTCAATGTCGTAACCATTATCTTCATTCACCATTCGGACATTGAGCCAAATTGTTTGGGTGGAAGGGTAGGCCTGGTAGGTTGGATGTGAAATTTGGCTTTTAGACTGTTCGGATAATTTAGGATATGGCTTTTGAGCTGTGTAAGGATCCATTCTCCATTAAATCTCTGAACTTTACAGACTTTTGAATATCACAGTTGCGAACTATTCGCAACAAAATTAGAAACACTGAGGTACATACGTCCCACAACAGGCTTTGAAGACCCCACAGCAAAGTTGCTCGTGATATGCTGACTAATCAGACCGGCATGATTGATAGCTCTGACTGACAGGCTATAGGTTGCATCATCAACCAGGCTAAGACCTGACCAATCAAGGTGGGTCTCTGATGTGGATCCACAAGGTGTCCAGGAGGTGAAGGCGTTGGGACCACTAAGAAAGCACTGGAAAGAGAAAACGTGATTTCTAAGGAGGCCTGAGATATGTCACCAAATTCATAAAAATGTTTAGTGCAACCCCCATTACTCCATCCCTCTCCTTTACTCCAATGGTCAGATCCGGCCGTATCCATTATGAGGCTAATCAATATCACCTTCACACTTCAAGCTTAGAAAATGTCACAACTTGAATTTGTGACCACTGTATGTTGAGAGAGTCCAAAGATTGCTAGTTCATGCACATCATGCCAGATAATCATAATGTTACAGGTGTTGGTCTTTTAACAAGACAAACATATTTTACTCGAGTTTCCTGTTATGAATTCTATTATTGCAAAGACAATCGAGCGAGTCTCCCATGTGATGCGCATGGTAACGTTAAATAATCGTTAAAGAAAAAATATTCTGATCACAGCCTTTTCATTCCAAATCAAAGTATCCCGTGTCACGCCGCTACGCTGCGCTCTTCGCTCTAACTGGATCCGTTTGGCACATGTAATCCTGAAAAAGGCAGTGTTTTATTAACAATGTTTATTTCTTTAAACTTTAAATATCTACAGACCTCATAGGAGTGAATTCCGAATGGATCCATGAAACCACTCCATGATGCTCTTAGGGAGTTCCTCTGAGACTGGTATCCGTCGCGTGATTCGTATTGAGTATCTGACATGGTCTTCACAATGACAACTGCTGCTGTGGAATTAGGAGGCACCGTCACTATTGTAACACCATCTGATGATTTCCATGACGACTTTTGAGCATGATTGTAGCACGTGACGGTTGCATACAGGCGCTGGCCCTCTACCATAATTTGAGACAGACTAGCGGTGATGCTAGATGTCACATCAGGAGACGGTGAGCTTGGTAAGATGTCATCCAGTCCATGCTCAGAGCCTGAAAAATTAATTTGCAGGGACAGAACACAGATGTTAAGTGCAATCTGTCTATTCATAGGCTCTAATACTGATTGATGGTCGGAAACCAATAGGATGTGTACTCATCAACTATATTCACTGCTACAACTTAAAACAACACACCAGCTGATAATAAGATGCTGATTATCAAAAGCAGATTATCGGATGCATATTCTCACTACGTGCGGATTAGAGTTGGTCAAATGAGGGTCGGAAATTAGAGCAATGTGTAATCTTTTGATCATTCAAAGCTAATTCTGGGTAAGATTTTATGATGAATTAATCAAAGCAGATGATGACAAACTGGGAGTCAGGCTCTTACTACGAGGGTCATGTGCTAACTTACTGAAAGTCAGGTGATGACTGGATCATCAGGAATGTTAACAAATCATAGGATGTTAAATTGACTATAATGACCAGCTGAGGGTCCGGTTCTAACAAATGATCAGTCGCAGACTAGCTAAAGATCAGATACGGACAAATGCAGGGTAAGACGAGTATTACTAACGGCCGTTTCTACAATGCCAACTTGTACAGATGGCTAAGCAAAAGCGTTGCAGAGTTTCAGTGCATTACATCTGCATTTATCCGAGTGTGATGTAAATCTACTGAGGGTCAAGTATGACAGTCCAAACTTGACAGACGTATACTTACCAACTGCCCAATCACAGTGGTCAATGCCACTCTCAGGATCAAACGCAGACCAACTGAACGTCAGAGAAGAATTATCTGCACTGAAGTCAACATCTGTTACGGTGGAAAAAAAGACACTGGACGAGTTTTTTTTTTTTCGGTCAGCCGGCCATCGCGATATGAAAGGGGAGGCGGATTTGCCACCATCTGACTATGGGAAGCATTGTTCAAAGCATGCAGACAATGTTGGACGCCATCGGACCGAATGTGAAACTCTTCCTTGCATCAAGTAAAGAAAAGCTGACAAAAAAAGTGCCGTTTTGGGGGAGTTGTTGGGCTCATGGCACCATGCCAATAAACACGTCATTGAATACAAGAATGTCATTTTTTTTCGTTTGTTCACATTTCAACATTTAGATCAATGTGCTTTGTGCGTGGATGTTTGAGGATTTCTCACGATTTTGCATGTTAAGGAAGACACTGTTTGTATGGTTGACAAAGACAAATTGTTTGTCAATAAAAATGGGAACGAACAATTCATTAGTATCACTACGCACCACTGAGGATTATTCCCCGTACACCTACATTTTTGTGGCTGAAAGAGGATAGCTTGATTGATTCAAAGCCATGTTGCAGGAATATACAATAATCAAAAAAGGGGGATTTATTTTATACCGTACCATGTTCATCCTTTCCGTCAGTTACAGCATGAATGATAGGAGGCGTGAGATCAATCACTACAGGGTCAGAGGTCGATATGGAGATGAGGTCAGCCGCATTTCTTGACATCACAGTGACGTAGACATTTGAGCCATGTGCCATTCTTAGGTTAGTGTTCATAGCATCTGTCTGTGTACCCACTGATGTGTACGTTTGTAGTTGGGTACCGCCTTTCGTTGTACCTTACAAAATCAAAATCCAAAAAGTAATACCTATTAATTTTTTTTTTTTAAAGCTCTTGTCAGGTAAAGCATGAAAGGTTTACGGTAACACCATGTGAATTTTATCTCTCTTGAGATGGTTATTTTAACGTTTCGAACAGTGTGCTCTGTTCCTCATCAGGTAAGTCTTGTCAGTAAGTTAGTCGGGCAGGTTAGCATATTAAATGTTGTTTTTACAACACAATAATCTATGTGACGATGCAATGCTTTGCAAGTGTTATGTGTGAAAAGGTTAGAATGTTAAAATTATAAGTTACTGAGACCACAACTGTAAGCACCTGCTTGGTGTTTTCAGGACAAATAATCGTAAGCAGATGACAAGAATATTGGTAAATAGAATACAATATTCAACCTACCTATGGCCCAGCTGTAATCCACTATGGGACTCTCTGGGTCAATAAATTGCCACTTGGCCTGGACTGATGACCAGCCTTGACTGATGTGAGTATGGACTTCTACAGCCCCATCACCGGTGCTTTGTCCAAGGGTGATCTGTCTCACCTGTGGTAAATACGAATTTGATGATCTAAAGTACTAAACCTTTGAAATAAAAGCATTTTGGGAAGAGTTTGATTAACTGATGACTGAATGAATTCAGATCCTAATTAGGTATGTTTGTGACCAGCAGGTAATATTTTTTTGTTGATGTATGCTGTTACCAATACAATGGCAATATTGTTTGCTTAAACGTTTGTCTATTTCCTTCTATGGAAGTTATATATATAGAATCTTGGAATATGGAAATGAATGAATAGATGTTATTAATTAACCTGAAACACATGTAATGGCATTTCTACAGTGGCACATCGTTTTGACAACCGCCCCCCCCCCCCCCCCCGAAACGTTAATAGGAAATCGGGGAGATGTACATTTTTTATTGATGTGCCCTTCGCCGACAAAACCCGATATAAAACACAACAATCTTTTAATAGTAAATGTTTAAACACTGTGACTATTTACTCACCTGAACATTATCCAACAGGATTCCATTTGCCGTTCCAACTGAGGAGATTTTTAATGTTGAGACATCGTTACCGGCTGTGAAGTAAAACCTGTGCTGCTGCCATCGGATGGACCTCAGACTCTGGTCTGAGTGACCGTGTGCTGGCCGGTCATACAACCTGAAGACACGATTCAAACTCGGTGCCTCAATGCGACCTTCCTGGTTAAGCAAAGGGTAGTGGGACGGCACGATGTGACTCGCGAAGAGTACAACCTGGTAGTGGCTGCCCGTTGTTGTGTTGAAGGTTTGGGAGATGGATCCGTGAAGAGACAAGAAAGAACGACCATCTTGAGCAATCGTCTTCCCTGAAGCGACCAGGGAAATCTGGCTGTTGGACCCAACATCCCACTGCAATAGTTGTTCATCTTGTTTACCGCTGGTAACATCCTCACTGCTTGTTGTCGGCATTTCTTCAGTTGTCAAATTATTGGCAGTTGATGGATAACTTTCAGAATGACTATCATTGGAATATGTTGATAGTGACTGCACAGGTGAGGGAGTGAAGTTTTCTGAAGTTGACTGATTATCACTTGTACCTGTGCCTTCTTTAGATATCCAGCCTTCAGCAACCGTTGTTGTATCAACAACATCCATATCTGAAATGTTACATGGGAAGTTTCAAACGTCTATTTCATTGTCACTAAAACCTGATACTAAGGTTTATATTTTTCAAATTACGGAGATAAAGGTGTTTGCAAACAATACAAGTTTTTTTGTCTGCTGCAAATGAAACTTGTATGTATTATTGTGTTCCTATATTAATAATTGTTTGAAAGGCATATTTTCAAGATTTTTTGATTCACCTGCATTACCCGGTTTCTGCATCATTTCAAAGGATGGATTCTGAATCAAGTTATCCCCAAAGTGGATGTGTTCTAGTGGCTCAGGGGCTGAGGTGTCCACCACAAACCCATCTGAAGAGACTGTTAGAGACTTTAAGCCGGCGGCATCAACTGCTGAGATCTTGGAGAAGTACGTAATACCTAACAGAGATAGAAATTAATCAATTATTAACACATAGTTAAAAGTATTACAAAGATGTAGGCCTACATGACTCTTAAGCGTCAGTGTTCGGAGGGTTTGAACACATGTGCCTGCTTCCTTTTGGTTTAAACTAAGACTCTTAAAACTGTAGGGATAAAGTATTTGCCCATCTGTAAGCTTGGACTATAAAACGTTCTTACACGAATTGTACAAAAACATAAACCAGAATGCCCAAGCAATTTCAAGAAAAGTTCTTGAATCCTCTAACAGCCTCTACTATGCAGAAGAACTGAACATAACTGAATTGACGTCATTGGGGATTATATCATAATGTAAAGAAAAATTAGCTCGGCTGCACCTTCTCCAATTCTGCAAAATCCCTAAAGCTCCCTAGTAATTTTGAAGAATCAGTGAAGGATACAGACATGAAGCTGCTTGATTTTTATTGTTACCATCTGTGAGAGGTACTGATAGACTCCTGGAGGCAGACAGATGGATTCCAACATCAGTACTGGGCACGACATCATCATCTTCAGTGCTAGGTGTCTGTCCAACGCACCACTCATAATGGTCTATAAAGGATTCCAAATCCACAAAGCCATGCCAGGATGCTGATATCACTGTGCTGGAGTTCTGGTACTCGACATCGTGTAGATCTGGAATGAACGAGTATAACAATGACGGATAAACTGGAAAAGTGCAATTACTTGAGATGACTGTTGCTTGTAGCTGTGGAACATTATAACTGAAGATGCGAACCGGCTTAGTTTAAAAAGTTGTATTATGAAAACGACCTTATGCATACTAATTTGTGTGAGTACGTTTTGAAGTTTAATTAACGAAAATGGATGACACCAAAAGAGTATTCTCTTCTGTACGGAACCTGTTTGTTGTCATTCATGCCAGATCTTTATTTGTAAGGTGTTCAGCCAATGGAAATGGATTTTCATGGCAGCATTACTGTATTGGTTTGACCAAGCAAACGAATCATTGGACGATTTGGGTTATAACAGCTAAAAGTGCCGGGTAGTCGCGTGTTGTGTGGTAAGTTTGCACAACACAAGAACCCTATTTGTCCAGATGTTACGCGCATAATCAGCCAAGATGATGAAGAAAAAAAATGAATGATTTTTTTTCGTAAAGGAGAGACAAAATAGAAACTTAAACCTATTCCATCAAACACCAAGCCTGGATCTGGCCTCCTTGTATCCACCACGAAGCCGTCACTGCTTCTGAGCGTGTGCAGACCGGCTTTGTTGAAAGCCCGTACGTTGCTGTAGTATCGCATTCCACTCTGAAGGTTAAGGTTGGTGAAGCGCGTGCTGGACACCGTGGCTGGGAAAGTGTGATCGGCAAACTGACGAATATCTTCACCTTATCAATAATACACATTACAAGGCAGTTAAGTTATATATGAAAATCAAGGTCACGTTATGTATAACAAATGATCTATCTTTTAAACCTCAAGTAGAAATTTAACTGTTTTGCTAAAGCTAGCCATTATTGCGAGTTAATTCCTAACTCTTGCGTTGGTCAACTGGATATATATTTTTTATTTTTTGGGCGATGATTATTGTATAATTATTTCCAGATTTTATACCCTTACTAGGAAACCAACTGTCACGTAATTTTCTGGCATGACAATAAAATAAATGAACCAACAAACGAATAAACCACTGCTAGGATGAGATTTTCAATTAGTTTGAGTTGGCTTACCTCCTGGAAAGGTACTCAAAGACACTTGGTAGTGGGACATTGCTTCGTCTAAAAACACTCCCTCCCAGGAAATATAGATCCCATTAGGATCTGTCAGGTAATCGGTGTCTTTCTGGGCATCAGATGTAGCAAGATCTTTTATCTAGACATACAGAAAATAATGCATTAGGGTTCATGCTAACGGTTTGATATTTTCAGATTTACAACAATGCAAAGATGGCGAAGAACCCATGCTGCAGCTATAATCTATAGAGTTTAGAATTATTCTATCAAAATACGGCCTAAGCAAATAAAATTTTGCATTTTCCCCTCAGATCCATTTCATACATACATGCTCGTTGGTTAAGATTGTATGGAATGCTACATTAAAGTAGAGTCTGATTGACAGTGTAAGACCTATTAATACAGTAAAGCATGAATATCAGATAACATAACGTGTGGTTGAGGAAGCAATAAAAATGACAAGTCTTAGTAGGCATATTTCATTTAATTTAATTCATTGAGACAATGAAACAAAGGGTTTTAGTTCTCCTACCCAATAACCTGGACGCTTGTGGAAACCTGGACGAAAAAAAATAACGTAACGATCATCAACGAATCAGGCATTTAGTGAAGGTAACCAATCCTGTGCTCTGCAGACAGGATTGGATTCAAACCTGATCACACAAATTCGGAATGCAAAGAAGGTACCATTTCGTCAACTTATATCCCTCGTCGAAGCCTCAAGTTTGTTATTGATTATTTGTTTTCCTCACCTGTCTGCCTCTGATTGTTGATATTTTTGGCGGTGTGATACCAGGTGTAATGCCGTCTGATTTGAACACAGCGTATGTGTTGGCATCATACCAGGCCCGGATAAACACGTGATACTTTATCCCTTTTATCATCTTGTGATCTATAAAATATAAAACAGGGAAATAGTAAAAATGTTAATGTTGTTCGATTAACCAAGCTCACTTATTACAGCAGTTGCTTTGCAAACAAATGAAGTCAATGACTTTGTGAAATATGGCATCCAGGCGGTGGGGATTGTTGTAGAGGTAACCAAGATTGCAAAAACAAAAATATATCAATTACTTACATCTTATATGTTGCAACAATGCAATATCTTAAAGAACGTCAACATTACTGCGTAATTAAAGCAAACGGCTATTACAGTTGTTCACAGTGGCGTATCCAGCTTTTGATTCCTGCGCCGAAATGTAGACATGTTTTTTTCTCCGGACACTTGGCCTCCGTAAAATCAAAAAGCAGGGGGGGGGAGGGGGTGCTCTTCAAAACTTACCATGATTATGCGCACTGGATAATTTATGCCGATTCTCACGGCGCATTGTAATGATTTTGGAACTTAGTTTTCTATTTTTTGGTTCATTTCAGAACTCTCTAACCATAAATTGAAATATTTACTGAAAAAAATATCTTTAAAAAAAATCCAAAATCCGCCGGGAGACAAGGTACGCCACTAGTTCTTCAATAATTTCTTAAATGCACTTCAAGCCTAAAATATGTTGAGGACATGTTTATTTAGTTTTTATTAGTAGTAGTAGGCATTATCAAATGTTTATAGTTGCTGTGATATACACAAAAGAACAGTAATATTGAGTATGCTTGTTTCCTTCAACCCGCTTGACTTCACGTACCTTCATCCAGTGTGATAATAGTATAATTATCCTGTCCTATATCAAACCATATCCTTTCTTCCACTGGATCAAAGACTCCCACTGGATCGGATGAAGAGTCATCACCAATGCTCCATTCAAACCTGAAAAGAGTAAAGGTATATGAAGAGTACCGATGCGGAGTATGATCAGCGTATCAAAGAACTGGAAACTTCTATCACCATCCCATTTCTGCTTTGAGATACTGCAGCTTCATGAATTGCTGTCTCATTTATATCAATAAATTGCGTAATTATTGATATCAATTGCGATATGTATATTCCAACTCACCATCTGATATCAAGTCCTTTCTGCTCGGTTACGTTCCAAACTGCAGCTGCTATACACTGAGTGGCAGTATCATCAATATCAATCAAGGTATTGATATCATCATGCATCAGATCCAGTACATCAAGAACTTCTATCTCAGTGTTGGGATTACCTAAGTAACAGTGCAAGAAAGGGGTTCAAACAGTTGTGGTACTGATGAAACTTGGGATATTGGGTTTAGTTGTTTTAGGTTTAACATAAATAATTGTTTTCAATAATGACGAAGACAGAATTAACGAATTTCACTTCTAATTTTTGGCACTAAGTTATGAATCACCAAATTGTCACAATGAATCCATATATTCAAGTATTAAACACTTAGAGATATCATTTGGGTTACTTGAGGTTGATTTATTATATTTTTTAATAATTCAGCCTTGATGGATTTCCAGTTGTTTACATATATAATTAAGTTAAGATGGTCATAAAATCGATAAAAGGTTTTTTTTTCGATAAGTGCATCCTTATTATAGATGCAAGATTGATGCTTAATTAAAAGTATATTATCTAAATAAATCCCCACGACGATGTTTGCAAATAACAACAAATCTGCATTCGTGTACTTATGCTCCATCACTCATCATTTTTGTTTTAACATTCTTTCTCTTCATTTCTTTTTACCGGTTCGCTAACAACGTCTGTGGCACTGTTGAGGAATTTTGATTACAATATCACAGCTGCATGCTCAAAAGCAAAGATGAGCAAAACAATTCATTAACAAGAACGTTTCCTTTGCTATTTCTTAATAATTTAATGTGTTTTTTCTTTCTTTCAAACGTCGCTGTTGGTTGATATACACAATGTTACTATTGTAGTCATCAGTAAACTGTGATATGTGAGAAGCTCAGGAGAAAAAAGAAGGTGCCGTTGCAGAGAATCTGCAAAGGACATCTAGGCCTACTTACTGTCAGTTACATCATTGCAACTCTGGTCTGGATTACATGTTCTATCCATAGGTGCACACGCACAGTGGCCCTCGCATGTGGTAGGTGAGCAGCGCCGAAGCAGGACAAGAGCGCCCTCAACTGGTGAAGTAGGAGCAACCTCAAAAGTGGAATGATGACGGCCGCTTGGTTTCCCAACCTGGGAAGACATAAAAAAAAACGAATTAATGAAATGACAATAGTTAACTGCTGGGAAGATTGTTCCAAGTTGTCATCCTAAATACATTGTGGTTCTGGGCGACTGTGGAAAGCTCCCTGAAGCGGGTGTTAATTCGGCCTATGTCATCGGGGCACTGTGGCCCAATGGTTACGGTGTTTGACTCACGTGCCATGGTACACGGGTTTGAACCCTGACGGGGAACATGGTGCTTGTGTTCTTGGACAAGACACTTTACTACGATTGCCTCTCTTCAGGCAGGAGTATAAAATAATGGGTACCTTGGAAGGTAAAAACCAAATTGCACTGATCTCGAGCTGCTCCAGAAAAATGGTCTCATTCCTGATGAACAGGGATTATAATTGTGAAGCGCTTTATAACCATGGGTATAAAGTGATATATAAGCGCCACATAGATACCTAGCATCAAATATCTAGCATTACTAGATATTATCGCAGGACGAGCTTAAGGCACAGATTCAAAAGTAGCTATTTCGGGCTTCCAGATAAAGTCTTAAGAATTGTTGGTGTGTGTTAAAAGAACGTTTGAGCAATTGATCAGGAAAGACATTAACTTTTACCCCATTAACAGCCCAGAGCGAGATGTAGAGATATGGATGAGGTAAGTCTACTATACTGCCCTCTAGCGGTATGATGGCGGTCTGTGCGATGCCTTCATCCAGAGACATGCCCTCGTTGCTGTGGTTTACACGGATTGGACCATTCTGGGAAAACAAAACGTGCCTGTTACACATTTATGATGTTAATGTGTGAATTTTTAGGGAATAACATAATTTAGAAACGCGCATATCTGGGGGATGATTTGGGGAATAAAGAAACCAAAGAGGACCAGCCATGAGCAGGGTGGAGTCTTCATACAAAAAAGTACACAAATAAAAGTAACACAAAAATCATTCACATACCGCAAAACGAATGCTTGTAAACAATAAATTAAAAACTCCAAAGAAACATTTGCACACAGAACTGTAGGGGGAAAAGGAAAACTTGATTATTTTGGGGCTTTTTGTCCAAATTCTTTTTTTTTTCACACACACAAAAGCAATTTTAAACGTAACATCATTATTTCATTTCATATGGTATTACTGACAGTAATGACACACTCATTTTATATATTTCAACCAAAAAACAAAATTACCATAGTGAGTTCAGCCCCGCCATAGGTGCTTCCGATGGAGATCAAGTAGTGGCTGATACCAGAGTGTATATCAGAAAATCCCAGCCAGGCAAGGGCTAAGGAACCAAGGGATGTACGGGGGTCTTCTATCCAAGTCATCCAGCCAGAGTGGTAGGGTGGGAGAAATGGGGTAGACGGTGGAGTCTCTGTGGTAGAGTTGACCGAGTCGGTGGTGTTGCCGACTTCAGCGGTTGAGTTGGTGGATGAATCACTGGTGTTGTCGAAATCAACGGCTGAGTAGGTTGAGTCCGTTGTGGTTGGAAGATGGTGTGAAGGCAGTGGGGTGCCCGGTGGTGTCTCGGTGGTGTTAGGAACATCAGTAACATTAGGCTGTGTTAAGGTTTGAATAAAAAAAAGCCAAATATTTACCCGAATTCTTTTTCAGTGACTATACAAGTGTAACCTATACTGAAAGTAAAAGGTAAGGTGGCCAATTATTGACAAAACGGACATTTGATTTTCCTGCTTATACCATATTTCTCTTTAGCAATACTAAAAAGGGTTGAAAGCCTTCAACTTACAAACAAAACACATTTCTAAGTACCTTCCATTATGTATATATACTCTAGTAAAATACCTATAGCCTTTCCCTTGGCAACATTAGCGAAATATTAAAGAGACACACAAGCACGCCTAAATTTATATGACATGTTACATAAAATATTGTTAATAGGCGGCTACTTCACAATGTTTTCCCCTATCATTTCGACAGTTAACATACTAAATAATAACATGAAGAGTACTATTGCAAACTCACGGTTGTGCTTAGCTCATTCGGTCGAGTAGTTTCACCCAATTCAGTTGGGTCAATCCAGATGATATGATGCCTATCCAAGTTAGCAGCACTCTCCGTACCAACGGCAAACGTGCCAACGGACGGTGGACTACCATCAACCTAGAGACAATGCATATCACAATGAATGGTGAAGCTATACAGTATACAAAACTTGGAGAAAAGATTGTTGGGAAGAGAACTGCGATGATTGATTACATCAGAGACCACCATTTTACAGGGCAAAATATTGGTGTAGCTTAAACCTATAAATATTGCAAATTACAAATTAACGTAACCATTCTACAGGGTGAGTCTACAAAGAAAATGACCGAACAAAAGTATTCAAAAGATACATGGCTCGTTTTATTTAATAAAAATGACATTACTGGCTAGTAACTGCGAACATTTCACGGTATTTTACGGTATTTTAAAGTTATTTTTTTATTTTATATTTTAATAGAAATGCCACAACAGTCAAATGTCCACCAATGATAATTCCCCGATATACGCATTGTTGAAAACCCCTTTAAATGCAATAAGCGAAAACGTACAAAGAAAAAAGACAAATAATAATAATAATAATAATAATAGTGGATATTTATAAAGCGCACGTATCCACCAGGACTGGTGCTCAAGGCGCTACATCATTATTACCCCTGCTCATTGGGCACATGAAACAATCCAAATACCATCTCAGCTCCCTGGGGAGTATACAGCTCGATGCAGCCTGTTAGGCGCAAGGAAGCTAATTCAATCACAATAACCATCTCCGCCCTCACAGGTACCCATTTACTCCTGGGTGGAGAGAAGCAATGAGTGACAAAGTGCCTTGCCCAAGGGCACACGCACCATGACCCCGCCAGGACTCGAACCCACAACCTGCAGCTTTACCCGCAGACCACGAATCAGTGCCCTTAACCACGAGGCCACAGCACTCCACAAATAACCATTTTCAATCCAGAAAAAGACTTAAACTATACAAAAAAATAATTTTATTTGAATTTGTTTGTCTATGTGTAGTCTCAGGTTCTAGCAGTAAAACATGCATAACTTGTAATAGCAGGGATTTCAGATAAGATGAGGAATATGTTTTTTTTTTAATACGTGCATCATCGGTGTATCAAATGCTATTTGAAGGCAATACAATAATTAATCCCGGTCACTTTCCTTTTGACTCACCATGTACACAGATATTCTTTGAGTCCGAACAATGATGGAGGGAATTCAAAATGATTTGTCAATTACGAGAGAGTAGATGGTTAGACGTTGGTTCATTGTTTAGACAAACTTATCGCAGTTTTTCCAAATGATTGCCATGCTGCTATTAATCATCAATTTCTTCAAAAATTGCCATGCGCTTAAATTATGCAATTACAATAAATTCAATATAGGATTTGTCCTTCATAGATGAAGTTTATTAACACTGTATACTTTGTGCGTTGCCCGAGTGAGCGAGGGAAAACATTTTTCTCACAATACCTTCGGGCAACACTGTCACTGACTTTACAATACTTCGGTAAAGAGCAAAATCCTATACTGAATTTAACAACCCAACGCAAATTACATCTCATGATTAGTTACAAATAAATTACCTTACTTTAAGTGTCTCAATTTTACTGCCACAAGTACAAAAAAGAATTTACTAGTGATTCGTCTTATCCTACATGCAAAAGAAAAATTTAAAATATTGCGGAAGTATAGACTATCGTCATACAAGGGCGGATCCCGAACACAATCTTTGGGGGAGCAAAAAAATGGATTCTAGGCGCTTTGTGGTGCAATCTGAGGCAATTTCTGACCACTTTGACCAATTTTTTTTTTGAGGAAAAGATGGTGGTGTACGCAGAGCCCACTTCATTGCAACTTAAACAAAAAAAATGGGTGGCTTTTTGGGGCGGGGCGTGGCCCCCGTTCCCCCCCCCCTGTATCCGCCCTTGTCGTCATAAAGCAATTTTGGTAGATTCTAGAGGTGATTTGACCTTGAGAGTGAATGTAACTGATGTCACCTACCAATAAAGGTTCTGTCTGGCTATCTGTGCACAGACCAGCGAAGTTGCAAGCCACCACGGTGACGATGTAACGGCTGCCTTCATGTAAAGTCAGATTAGTGAATGTGTGATCCGACTCGCTCCCTGCTATCTGAGAATGGGTGAAAAACAAGATGGTTTTTATTCGTTGGAACCGTACATCTGGAAACCCCACTATACCATTGGTGCAATTTGCAATCAATAAAATATGAATTAATTATTTCATAACAGATATTTCTTCCAGTTGCCAGAACAGTTTTTTTTTCAACCAACTGGTAGGTGGTAAAACTGTTTTGGCAACCGTAATTATTTTTGCTGGTCTTTTCAAGACGAAACTAATAGGCTTGGTAATTTAGCTGGTGAAAACCCATTCACGGGCAACTTCTTTGAGAAAGAGTACCTTTATTGTAGGTATGTTGACATCTCCGTTGTGGTGAGTGCTGACGGATATGAAGTGGTTTTTAATACCACTCTCAGTGTCCCTGAACTTCCAAGAAACGTGAATCACATCCCGCGTAATCTAAACAAAGATTATTACAAAAACACAACAAGGTAAGAACTGAAAGACCGAAGAACGACAACCAGAAATTACCACAAAGTTAAACACAAGAAGACTGTCATTAATAGTGTTAGTATAAAAAAAAATAACTTCCACATAGCAACACTGCGAAAATACAAAAATGACACTGCAAACACATATATCAAAACATTAATGTTCTTACTTGAGTGTTTTTAAAAGCCATTTCCTGCGTCTCGCTCACAGCAGGTGCATGCACCGCATCAGGAGGGGTAGAGTCGACCCGGAACCCATTAGACGTAGCCTGACTCCACAAACCAAGCTGGTTATAGGCGCGCACAGTGATGTAGATATCTGTACTGATTGGCAACTGGCCTGAATCGGACAGGAATGTAAGCGCATCCTCTGACAGCTCGATGCGAGTAGAGGAGAGAATGTCTTCAGCTCCTTGTGTCGTACCAGCGCGCCATTCGTAGTGGGAGAGGCCAGAGTGAGGGTCGTGGAAGCCCCACCAATGAGCACGCAGCTGCAGCCTATCGACGAACAATTTAATACAATCAACAATAATTCAAATTGTCTGAAAAAGAAAAAGAAACTTCAAACTTGAAACCTAGCTGCCTTGATTTGAGTTAGCATACCTCGAGGAATGAATAACCACACTACTAATGTCTGTGATTAACATTAATTACCAAAATGAATTTGCAAATTAGAATTTAATTAGAACCACTCATTCATCCCACGCCATCCCATGACCAACTCCTAGGCATTGTAAATTTGAACGCTGTCCGCGGGAAAGAGCATGCAGGCTACGCGTTGTTAGGAACTGATTTCCGGACGGCAATACAACAACTCAACGCGCCACCCCGATCCATGACGCTCCCTTGCCGACCTGTCAACCCTGGGATTCTTCTTTAGACGGAAAGAAATTCACAGGTTGACATAATTATCCAACGATGGTCACACAAGGAAGGAGTATTGAAGGATCGACCACATGTTGACTAGAGAATGCTCACTTGTCTGGTCTTACGTGTCTTCAGGGGCGCAGAGATCCCAGCAAACATAGATCACCGACTAGTTGTTGACACGATCAGGCCTACCGCAAACCGCCGAAACAAACCTCCAAGCAGTTCGATGTCAGATCAGTCCTAGACAAAACACACGGTCCCATCATTTACAATGTTGCTGTCAAAAACAAATTTGAAGACCTTGGTACTAACCATTTAGTCCTCCATGCGATCAACGAATCTCTCTGCCGCCTCAAAAACCATCGGCGCCGCAGGCACCAGAGACGTCTTATGTTGGCCTCTGGAACATTGGATATTGTGGACGAGACCAGAACTGCGACGCACGTCTCCGCGGTGACACCGAACAGCACGTAGACTGAAGGCCACCTTCAAAGCTCAGTCCAAGGGTGACCTTGAAAAGTTCTATGGCAAAATTGCTGACTACCCCGAAGAAGGGCTGCGTAGAAGCGATCTGCGTCCAATCTTCCAAGCCATCAAATGCGTTGCCATCCACAACAGGGATGTAGTTTCTCGGCGCCCACAGCAAGGCGGCTGAGGAGACGCTGGCCCGCTGGCGAGAGCCCTACAACTCCTTGCTTTACCACCCTCCAGATACGCCCTGCCCAGACCTCACTACACAGGCATCAGACGCAGTTCCAGCTGAAAATGTCTCCTCAGAGACTCCCACCCTGGCTGAGGTACGACGCACTGTCAGGAAGCTAAAGAATGGACGTGTTGCAGGGCCTTATGACATTCCTCCTAAGCTGCTCAAGTGGGCAGAGCCCCCAGTTTGCGTGACCCTCCACGCCGTTGCCCCCAGCAGTCACGAGGGGCAGGTCAACAGTGGATGCGGTGCGTGCCCTAGCTTCTTCTGCTGTCAGAACTTCACCGCCAGTTTGAGATACCTCTCTATTTTGCATATGTTGATGGGGAAGACCGGGAAGCTCTATGGAAGGTCTTTAAAGCAACCGGAGTCCCACCATTCCTGCTTTACCTGATGAAGGACCTGCACAAGGACAGTTCATCCACCAAGCGCATCGGAGACGACACCTCCACCCCTTCCCCTACACTTCAGGTGTCCATCAGGGCTGCATCCTCGCCCTAACGCTAATCTGTTGTGCTATCGACTGGATTCTAGAGGTTAGAGGCACGTCCTTCACAGAACTGGACTATGCTGACGACGCCGTCCTATTCATAGGAAATCCCGACCTGTGGCCTATTTCACTCCAGTGGTTTGGTGAAGAAGCCGGGACGATTGGGATGGATACATAACGGACCAAAACCAAGATCCAGAACTTCACCGGCCTTGGTCCACTACCCACATCAGTCACTATCAAGGGCCAGCCTATCGATACAACACAGAAGATAAGGTATCTCGGCCACATCGATTACTTAGGGTACTCCTCTCCAGACATCCTTAGACGTATTGCACTTGCCAAATCAACCTTCGGCCAACTAGACCACGTGTGACGGAACAAACGCCTCAACCTCAGAACCAAATCAAAGGTATATACAACCGGTGTTCTTCCCGCCCTTCTCTACGGGTCAGGTGTTCTCCCCGCCCTTCTCTACGGGTCAGAAACCTGGACAATTCTAGCAGAGGTTGGGCGACGGCTCCAAGCCTTCAACATTATAGGTGCCAACGGCGGATTTTCGTTATCCGATGGTCCGATTTTGTCAACAACGCAACAATCTCGGATGCCACCTGTCTCGAGAAATCTATGTCACCATTTCACGGAGACGCCACTCCCACTTCGGCCACGTCCGACGGCTTCTGGAAGACACGCCCGCCAACGCCGCCCTCAATATGTGCGTTGAAGTGCGAGGGGGATTCCAACCGTGCCCGGCTTGGAGGATACCCAGAGACCGACCACGCAACACCTGGCTGCGCCAGCTGGAAGCAGACCTTTAGACGCGGGAGCAAAGGCTGTGGTAGTCGCAACTTGCCCACTTGCGGCATGTTTTTTATCGTTGATGTTTCGACGGTTTTAGGACGGTTCAGGTGTCGATATAGTAGGTCTTCATTATGCCCCCGGCACAAAAAGCTGGACCAGATTCGAGCAGTACTCCAACATGGCCCCTGACCATGTGAAGTTGAGTTATTGGTTCGCTTCCTGGCTCTTTAGGTTAAAGGCGGAGACCTTAGTCTATGTAAGCGGGTTCTTCACAAATTATTGAGCGATGCTGCGCTTGCAAGTGCTTTTGAAAACTGTGTCATCGATATACCTACAAACTCCTTTTCCTAACATACTTGGGTCACTGGCATGGATTAATCGTCTAGACACCATATTCGTTATTTGGTCATTGGTGTATGTGTTGAACATGTTTGTGCACAGACATAGACCTGTGAAAGGCCATATAATTCGTTGTCGTCACCATCCTGGGCCAATTTCATGGAGCAGCTAAGCACAAACATTTGCTTACAATGAAAAGTCTTCCTTGGCAAAACCAGGATTACCAACTAAATGTCCATGTGATGTATATCGCTTATGATTGGTATTCCAGCAGCTGTTGTTTGCTTAGCTTGAAAATCACATGGAGTTTTGGCTGGTAACCTGCATCTAGTAAACCAGAATTTAAGGTGCTAAGCAAATGTTTGTGCTTAACAGCTCCATGAAATTGGCCCCCTGATCTGTTTACCATGCAGCATCACCAAGAACTTCCATTTCTGGGTTCTGGTTCCTATAGGGTCTGTGAGGGCCAGGTCTTAGACATATCCAAGATCTTACAGAAGAGTTTACAGTGGTTGATGGTGTCATAAGCTGCTGTCAGGTCCACGAATACTGAACCGATGATCTCAACTGCCTCAATGGTTTGAGAAATTGGTTGTTTGTTGACCTCCCAGGACGGGCGCCAACTTGTCTGAGTATCACCAGTTATCCACGGAGCCAAGTCTCCTGTATAACGTCTGATATATCTAGACATGCAGATATATGCAAGCCGCGTGCCAGCCAATCGGAGTCAACTTTACTAAATCATGACGTCATTTCATTCCCAAATCAGTACTAAATAGTTTGATTGGTCAATTCGAATGCAGTGTTTTGTAATACAACAACAGACGGGCGCATGGGTGAATGGGTGAATTACCGAAGACCCGATATTGAAAGCGCCCGCCAACCTGCTCTGGGATAGAATGTTGATCCATGTTGGATTCGAGTCTGTTCAGGATGAGGCGCTGAAAAAATTTAAGTGTACCACATAGATGGGATATGGATGGTGATGGATCCTTTCCTGGTTTGAGAAGGGCTATCACTCTGGTCTTTCTACACATCTTTGGTGTTTTCCAAGTGTATACTTTCCAATTCTCACGCATTCGGCGTCTGTCAAACGCCTCAAAATCAGGTTAAACGCCGCACTTCTTGCTTAAGAAGGTATATTCTTTGTTAAAATAAAAAAAAAACATTTACAGCATGCATCAGTGCAGTGTCCTGCCTCTACCACTGTAACTGTTTGGGCTGTCGGGAAAACCACTCTCCAAATAAGCAATTCAGGTTTTTTGTTATTCAATTTTCGGAATTCAATTTTTGGTTCACCTTGATGATTGGTAATTTATGTCACCACTCCCAGGACCGCCATCATACACCCGCCCTGGCACCGGTGGAGAATCATCAACCATGACCCCATCAGATGTCTTTGATGTACAAAGGTCAGCAGCATTACAGGCTGTCACGGTCAAGAAGTAGGTCAGACCTGCCACTAGGTTCAGATTTTCAGCAAGAACACCTGTAAGCCAAATATGTGTACATCGATTTCTTTATGTACTTTAAATATTCTTTCTTGACCGTCAAACATGAACTTCAACGTAAAATTTAAGGATTACAAAACTGTAATAATAAAATCATGGTTAAATGCTCTATTTAATTGATAATAAATGTAAATGACAGACAAAAAAGCTGAAAGACCCGCGTGAAAAAAACTTAAATAAGTCAGTGGTTTGTTAAAATTCGTATTCGAAATTTACCGGTATCCATGCCCACTTGCTGCTCAGGAACGACATCGCTACACCCTTGACATGTACCAGCTCTCCAAGAATAACCAACGATGGCGCTGTGAGGATCATTAAAACCTTCCCATGATGCGCCGATCATTCTGCGATCCTCCTGGAAGTCTTGGTCTCTGTGATTGGCTTGAGCAAGCGCTGGGTTTCCATCAAGGACTTGGCCGGCCAATGGCGGGCTTGCATCAACTGCGAAAGCTCCGTAACTCTTCATAGATATCAGACCAACTCTGTTGATGGCCTAAAAATGTAGAACGACATAATGAAGAATTTTGTCACACATTAAACGTAATAGGGTCTGATATTTCGATCCTTGCAGTATCTGTATCAAAGGCAACAGGACATGCGAACAATGACAAATAAGAAGCAATGCAATTGTCTAACGCAGTGTTCTTTGTCATATATCACAGACATAAATCAAAGGGTTTTTTTGTTTCATTCACGGGAGGTCTTATACCGAGTCTGTAAACACAAACCCACCTTTACAGAAATGAAATACGCGTGACCTTCTTGTAGAAGTAAAGGTCTGGAAAGGTCACTGACTCCGTTCTCTGTACTCTCCCTAGTAAATTGCATGATGTCTGCATGTCCCGGATGTGAACCCACGGCCCACTCATAATACGATACACCACTCTCCTTGTCAGAGAATATATTCTCCCAACTGAAAGAAGAGCAGCAAACAACACAAATGAGTCAAATAATCACAACTGTTTAGACGCACCCTGTCGTGGTCGTGCTCGATAGGAGGGATGTCCACAAGACGTGGTTCAGTTTTCATATTATGATTGGTCTATTTCATGCCACTCTAATGCAATTTTTTTTCTCGACAACACAAATCCTGCATTATCAATAGTTCCATTCCTAGCTCTGAAGAAGTGATCACTGTTGGGCCATCTACAAAGAATAAAACTGTATTTGATTCAGTTGCTTCTGTAAATTAAAAATACAAAAGCAACACCACTCTATATATACATATTTCACTTGTTTAACTCACATGAGGCAAACTGGGCAAATATAAACCAGAACGGTACTCAGCTTTGTAGCTAGAAGATACACACACACGCAACCCTGAATGTTCAAAGGACCTGCCCCTTTCCCTTTTTGTTCCCTTTTGTTTGTACTCTGACAATCTCTCGACAACTCCCATGGGGTTTGTACACGAAATTCTCGAGGACTAGTGGCAGCTTCGGTCCCATTGTTTTCGCAAAAACCAAATTGTCCCAAGTCCTCAGTGGTATAGGATAACCTGTACACATCCCACACAGCCATGTACCTACTGTGAACATTCCTTGCTGTGTAGTTCAACAACTACCGAAGAAAAACATCATTTAACTCGCACTGAGAAAACTCTTTCAAACCAAACGTTCCTCTTCATTTAGCGATAGATGAACCTAACCCGATAATGTCTCTAAACCTGTTCCAGAAAGGAAGAAGCTAGTGTGAACGTGCATACGTGTGGAAGCCCACAAAATGTTCACGCTTTCTGTATCCCGTGAAGTTCTTTGTTCACAGGTTCACAAAGAGCATACATACATGAATCTTTCCATTGTATTAAGAAATATGATAGCGATATGACGAATTATGAACATAAGTCTAGTCTCTTGTCCACTACCTTGCGGAGATGGACGTTGTAGACCGGATGAAGATGCCTCCAATGTCCAACGTATAATCAGCACTGACGACAGGAGGTGACGTATCGATGATGATTGAATCTGACATTGCTTGTGATGACAGACCGACAAAGTCAGTCGCTGGTTGTTAAAGGGAATATACAACATTTGCAAACATCGAAAAATAAAACTACCAAGTTTTTGCGAAATACCTTAATAGGATGTTGGTAAATGACAGTCTAAAGCATCCTGTAAAATTATGGCACCTGGTATACTGTCATTTTCAAGAAAAGTGGTATTTTTGTATCAATTTCCAACGCTGATCGGCCGATCAGCGTTGGAAACAACTGGCTTTTTTTCAAATACTGGCCCCAATTGACCATTGCACTTGTTTGCAATCGATTACAAACCCATGAACGGGTACGAGCCAGCTAGACTGGTTCCCTGACCTTACAATTCCCCAATGTATGTTAACTGCTCTGTTTCTTCTTATATGGAGTCAGGGAACCAGACTACAGGAAAATGATCGTTTTTCTTGGTTTTTATAGCATTTTCGAACCCAAAACCTCCAAAACGTCAGTGTAACTATATTTGCTTTATATTTCTAACCCCCCAATTCCATCCATATCTGAAAATTACAGCAAAAGCAAATGATGTATATTCCCTTTAAGGAAATTACAACTTTTAAAAGCAGTCGGTCCAATCAACTTGTATACGATAATGGTCAAAAAATGATTTGATTCAACTTTCCACACATACAAATCACCATATCCGATCAAACGAACTTGATTTACACCGCGTATGAAAGTTATTTTTAAAAGACTGAGACCGCACAATATTGACCACCTTAATCTTCCAAGGCATATAAAATCGAATTAGTACCTGTTTGGAACTGAACGAACCATAGAGGAAAATTGACTACCCGGCTAACATTTGACTATCGTCTCAATCCGGAGTACCACGTGAGTTGGAAACATCGTCTTTTACTTCTTGGGAATAGAACCAGTACGGTACGGCAAATTGTATTGCAGCGGCTATCAGGCGACGTGTGCTGTTGAAGTTTGGTTTTCGTTATAATATCTTTAATTAGTTTATGGTGTCATTTAAAAAAAAAAAATTGTACTACAAATTTCGTATTAAATCTCATGATTTCTTACCTTTCACTGTAGCGTAGTACTTGTGTCCATTCTGTAATCTCAGATCGTGTATTATAACACTGTTGGTGATTCCAACACGCGTGAATGCTTTCACGTCACTTTCTCCCGGCATTGAACCTGCAACACACAAAATTAAAGGGAACAAAATAAATAATGGCCATTCGTAATTTCTGATTATTGAACCAAATTTGGTCCATTGAAAGAAGTATTGGCAAATCCACACAACAATATAATGTAAGAATAGGCCATACACATCCCCAAAACAAATAGAGTAGAGCCATTCTAGAACTATGGGCCGTACAGAACATAACAGTTCCTACCGATGGCATATTCATAGTACTTGATCCCTGAGTGGTGTGGTGCCATGCCGTGTTCCTCAATGTCAGTAAATGACTCCCAATGAAGAACTAATTCAGAGCTAGAACTCTGTCAAAAAGAAGGGGAGAAAAAAGGAGATTATGCAAAGGTAAAGGCAAACTTGCTCAACCACCAAGAAAGCAGTACCTCCTCTGAAATGTGGAATTTTTCCGTAAATTTGGTGTGATGCTCAAAACCAAGTTCAACAGTCCCAATTCAATAGTTGCGTTCACAGTTGCGTGGAATGAATTTGTGCAAACAAATATTTATATTACTTGATAGGCTTGATGCCTGTTCCATCCAATCCACACAGAGCCAGGGGTTGGTGGGGTCGTATCTATGACAACACCATCACTACAGGTGGACACCGCAGGCAGAGGTTCATTCCACAACTCATGCTCCAATGTCACTTCATCAGCATGGATGCAAATTCGATAACGCTTTCCATGAGCCAGGACCAAATCAGGAACGTTGACAAACTCTTTATCTACAAGATAAATCAAATCTATGTCATTCCCATGCCATCAAATGGGTCCATCCATCACACCGACTGGCCTGTTGAAAAGGCCATCGTGGCCTTGGGTTTTGAATCCAAGCGGCGGTCTCGTTGTCGTATATTGTTGTCTGATGTAGAGCGTTTCATTTCCCCAATGAGCAGGGGAAATAGTTATTCTTGTACAGCTTATCGGGACCTTGTGTGGAAAGCGCTTTGTAAGCACGTTTTTTTTATTATTATTTCACAATGGTCACCCTTGGTTCCTTAAATTCATTCTGAATCTTTCTTACCTGTTTCCCCACAGGCCTTCATCATTGGGTGATCGCAGGGGTACTGCAGACCATGGTCCAAGTTTCCTAATGCATTGGATCCGATGTCTTCAATGACTGCCCAGATATAGGCTCTGTGACGTAGAGTAGGCCAGACTGCTGATAATGAGGACGTAGATGAGATGTAGTTCTTGTCTGGTTCCGGCAACAAGGCATTCTGCTCAATGTTTACTTCATCTGTATTACAAAGGTTGATAAAGATTATCGTGGTTTTTAGTAGTCTTCGGACTTTCGACTGTATCACAGGCAATAAACGGCAAAACAAACGAAACTAACATAATGAGAGTGATACACGATGTATTTTTCTAAAAGGCCTAAGCGTGCACATTTTAATAAACTGATAAAGCACTTAAAAACTTGATTATGTAACTGCAGTGCATACTGACAAAACTAGGACTTTAAATGCAGTAATTAACTTTTATTAATTGATCAAATGACTTTAATTGTACATTATGATTTCAAATTCGAAAATGTGAAAATATCTTTCCTGTTTTCACATTTCTTTTTACTAACAAGCAGAAATATTACTCTTGGTGCAATTTTATAGAAAATATTAAACTGCCGCGGCTATACAAAAACATAAACAAAACAAAAAACCCAAATAAAGTTAGTAACCCTTTAATGAACAGGCCTATACTAAAGTGTGTTCATTCGCTTTCTATTTTTTTCTTTTTGGTGAAAAACATTAATGAATGCCTGAAGCTGCTTTTTCTTGCCTCAATAGGGAAATTGTGGGGGGCATGAGTGGGTAGTTAATACATTTTTGGTACAGCCCACCTGCAGTGGAACGTTTCAAAATTACAAGAAGGCACACAACAAAAATATCTGTCATTTCAGTATATTAGAACCTGGTTCAAAGAAACTTACGATCTGCATCTATGACAACATGAGGGACAACCTGCTTCACATCATCACAGTCAACAATCTCCTTGCTGGCAATGGAGGACAGACCAGCGTTATTGTAGCCCCTCACTGATAATCGCAAACACGAATCAAGGTCCAACGACCCATTGTAGGAAGCTGTGAAGCGGGCCTTTAGAGAGAAAAATCGTATGACTAGGGATCATGTACAGTTAATGTTGAGAGGTGTCTAAGCGCATTTCTCAATATCGGGGAGAAGTGTCTAAATGTATTTCTCAATACCGTGGGCAATCTGATTATACTGTGTTAACCTGATTATTTTTTTTACGATTATTGCTCAGAGGTGTTTTTTTTTGGGGGGGGGGGTTACATTCAGCAACCTTATACCAAAATTGTCAGTTGCCCTATGACTTGTTTACTTGACATGAAAAAAACCTCAAAGAAAGATTGATCGTACATAAATACTATTGAGATCTATATCATTTCCTGAGTACACGTGCACGCGTGCACCCTGGAACTTCTCTAACGCAGATCCCATTCGTCAACATTTCACTATCGTGGATGATATACAGTTTAAGGTGGTATTCTATTTTACTATATCCAGCGCTCCTTTCTGCTTCGAAAACAGCACAAAATACGTACCGCATCCCCAGTAACCATCAGATTCTGGATTCGTGTCCACTGGCTCAGTAAGGCTCCATCACTACCGTCCTCAGCAATGCTCCATTCATAGAAATCCATCAGTTCTTGTGGTTCGTCACGACGGACGTAATCATGCGCAAAGGGCTGAAAGACCACACGGAGCTCTGTCCCGCCTTGCGTAGTCTCAGTGCTGTTGACTGTGATCTGACCGACCTCAGGTGGTTGGGATAATACCCAGAATCCATCAGTGACGATCGGTCGGAAGCAAACATTACTATGGCAGAACCGCACCTACCATACAAAATACGACCTTTTCAAACATGTATTCTCATAAAAATATACATTCCACTTGTTTATTCAATATTATATTTCACGTTAAATAATTTCATAATGCTATGATATTTTCTTACCTTTGTTCTGTAGTGATTTCCACCATGGAACCCCATACCAGCCCCGACATGTTGATATGCCATGCCAAGATTTTGATCATCAAGCACAGGTATCCACTTTTTTGTAGTGTTGTCATCATCTGAAGTAAACAAAATTTGCATCAATCATAATATCAATGACGCCTACTGTAATATTTTTTTAAACAGATCCAAACTTAATTCAAAACATTTAAGCGGCTTGTTTGGTTTCTTGCACGTCCAAAGAGAAAAACATCAAAATGCTTACCTCTACCATCTTTTTTTTAAAACTAATCCTGTACATTTAGAAAAAAAATAAACAGGTTCTATTTCTCAGAGTGAATAACAGGGTTTTAAAATTTAAACGAAGAACAACCAAGAAGAACTACAACGTCGGTATGAACAAATATTTACAAAAAGCAAATGAGATGTGGCAAAATTTTGTTCACAAAATCATTTTGTACTCACCCATTCTTACTTTATGCATTGAAATCCAACACTTCAAAATTAGACTAAAAAAACTTCAATTGCAAAAAGCAAGTTTAATATAAATATACAATAGCTTTAGTCCATGCTTTCTATCGACAAAAAAATATTTCGGTAACTCCATTATGTAAACGGAAGTTTTAAATTAGTTCAACACCTATTTTTCCCCGCTTTGATGTGTTAAATTCCAATTGTCGTAGGCCCAGGTGTTAGTCCTTACGTGCATTATTCACTTGACATGTGTTGTACGCTCGGTTATTAGCTCCAGGACCATGTAGGCTGCATGGCAGTGCCTGCTAAATTTGTTACAGTTTACAGGTATTACTGCATAGTAATTTTGACATAATTTGCATCACTTTTATTCCATAAAATGATGAGATTTTATTTGTATTATAATTGTAGAATGGTGTGATGATATGACGAAAGCATTGTGACGAAATCTACGAGGGTTTGGGTAGCCCACTTTTGCACCGATGGCATGCGAAGTGTGACCAAGTGCAGTGCACGTAGGGGTAATGTAATGTAAGTGTAATGTGTGAGAGTGTGCAAGTCGTGGTCAGCCCTCGGCAAGAGTTGAGGAAACTGTGTTTTTTCCCTTAGTTGTTCGACACAAGGGTAACATAGCCATACATGTAGTTTGTGACTCGGTTGGAGTCTGTACATGGGTACGTATATGTACTTTAATTTTCAGTTATGTCTTAATTAATTTTATATAAACCTTGTCTTAATTTGTAAAACGAAACTAATTAGTCCCTGCCCAATTTTTACAAGCCACCAGCTGTCAGCCAGTGCATAGTAAAGTGAATGAAGACAGATTGGAGAAAGAGCTGTCATGTCTTCACTTCATTGGGCCCTTCTTTGAACCTGCGTGCCTTCCCACCCAAGCCCAGGTTGGCGGTCGCCCCACCTCCAGACCCGAACCCTCGCTAGAACAACAGCCTTCCCCACCCCATGAACCCCCCCTCTAAGTTAACAATTGCGGTTACCTATGTATATTTCAATCTCCCGTTCAACAGTCCAGACGACATTAGTCACAAACGGTACAAGCATCTCTGGGATTGTCCAACGAGCTGAGATGTCTGAAGTAGACGACTGGTATGTGATGTCATCCTCACAGGGTTTGTCAGCAACAGATGAGTGATGAGATAATCCTGACGGCACAGACACTGCAAGAAGGAGGCAAGGAACTGGATATGAAGAGCGAGACTGAGGAACGGATATAATGGTCAAAAAAGTAACTTGTCTAAACATAGAGTTGAGAGAGATCTAGAGGGTGGTCACAAAACTTAGATTGCTGAGGTAGAAGAGCTCATGAGCAATGGGTAAGTGTTAAGATAACCCTGACACTGCAAGCGACCTGAGATGTCAGAGGTAGAAGAAAAAGTGACGTCATCCTTGCAGAATTGACATGCATCAGACGAGTGATGAAAGAATCCCGCTGGAACGGAAACTGCGAGAAGGAAGAAAGAAACTGTGAATGAAGAAAAAGTAGAGAGATCTAGAGAAATGGTCCAACGAGCTGAGAATCTGAGGTAGAGGACTGGTAAATGGCGATGTCATCCTGACAGGCTTGATGGGCAACGGATGGGTAATGAGATAATCCTGATGGCGCAGACACTGCAAGAAGGAGGCAAGAAACTGTGAATGAAGAGAGAGAAAGGAGAGATCTAAAGGGATGACCGAATGAGCTCAGATGTCCGAAATAGGGGACTGGAAGGTGATGTCATCCTGACAGGGTTGATGAGCATCGGCTGATTGATGGGATAGTCCTGATGGCACATGCACTGCAAGAAGGAGGCAACAAACTTAGAATGAAGAGAGAGTAGTGAAAGATCTCTAGGGATGAACTAATGAGCTGATTTGTCTGAGGTAGAGGACTGGTAGGAGTGAGGTTATCATGAAAGGGTTGATGAGCATCAGATGATTGATGGCATAATCCTGATGGCACAAAAAACTGCAAAGAGGAGATAATGAATTGTGAATGAGGAAAGAGTAGGGAGATCTAGACAGATGGTCCAACAAGCTGAGATGACTGAGAAATAGGCCTGGTAGGTGGTGATGTCATCCTTACAGTGTTGATGAGCAAGATATGAGCCAGTGGATACATCTGATGGCATGGACATCGAATCAAGCCAAAAATATTGAATAAGGAAACTTTGAATAAAGAGAGTATAGAGAGGGGAATCTAGAGGAGTGGTCCAAGCAGCTGAGGTGTCTGAGGTAAAGGACTAGTATGTGATGTCATCCTGACAGGGTTGATAACCAACATATGAGTGATGGAAGAATCCTGATGGCACATGCACTGCAAGAAGGAGGCAATAAACTGTCAGTGAAGAAATGGTAGAGAAATCTCAGAACAGTGGTCCATAGAACTAAGAAGTCTGGGGGTATAGAACTGGTAGGTAATCACACTGACATCATGCTACTAGATCAGCAACGGCTGAGTGTTGGAAGAATCTTAATAGTACAGACCATGCAAGAAGGATGCAAAAAACAATAATTGAAGAGAAGGGGAGAAGAAGAGGCAGATCTAATTAAAGTGGCAGTCTTCTGAGATAAGCTTTATCGTCTTAGCAATTGTGCGTAGTAATTATGTATAAAGATGTATAAGATAAGAATGAAGCAGATAAGAAAGTAAAAAGAAAGGAAGTGAACACCTTACTTTCATCTTGATCACAGCCCAGTCCATCTTTGATCACAGCTCCCTCCAGTGCCACACCCTCCTGAATGACTTTGACGCCGTCTGAAGTAACGTTGACGCTACCGGCTTCAGAGTTGGCACGGATGGTCACGTAATAAGTCTGTTGATCAAAATGAAAACAGACGGTTTCAGCCCGAATGAAAAAAGTCTACAGAAACCACCAAGATGATGTCAGGAGATCTTAGTAATCATAAGATGGAGTTTGCGTCGGGGTGATGTAAATTTAATTCACTTTTCGACAGTTTCAAAGCAAAAGAAGAGTTCCGGGGAACCTCTTCAATAAATTAAACTGATGTTATTACCCCGAGCGAAGTAAGATCTAGTCCATGCAATCGATAGGAGGTTGCACTGCCGATATTGATGAAACCACCGCTGACGTCAGTAGGGCCTCCTTCTGATCCAACGGCAATCTCATAGTTGATATTAAGATGAGGATGCTCAAAACCAAACCAACGGGCTGAGATGCTGGTGGTGTTCATCTGAACGTCAATATCGTTGGCTACCTGTTTTGAGACACGGTTAAGCATGGTGATCATCCTCGTGATATCTTTTAAGTCTTAATACAACTGTTTACATTGATGTCTTCATGTAAAAGTCTGATATAAAAAAATGCACGTTTGGAAAGAAAATCATATAATTGACCATTTGAAACAATTTACGATAAACGAAGGGATTAAAACCCGTAGATTTGATATCAGCATACATTACCCCAAAGTCCACATCGGATTCCTCCTTAGGGGGTGCAACATCAAATACAACACCCACGGACGGCAACTGCACCATGTGTCTATACACGGATGAGGTCCCAGCTGTGGTTAATCCAGCGCCATTCTGTGCTTGAACTGTTACGTAATACTCATGATTGCCGTGGAGATGCCAGTTGATATCGTCCAATGAGAATGCAGCACAGTATGATCGTGACAAACACGGCCCAATTCGGTAGTCTTTCTCTGTCTCGAAGGTAAGAGTTTCCGTGCCACCCGGGGTACTCCCTGTATTTATGCAGATAAATATTTAACTTTCAAAAATTATAACAATTGTCCATCTCGGGATTTCAAATTTAATCCAAAACATGTTCGGACAATACGTTCCTGAAAATAACTGCAACAATTAAACATTTGATTCAATACTGTAATCATATTAAATTTGGCCGGGCAATAACCGTGGTCGATGATGTTATATTTTAGGTTAAAAAAATGACATTTTTGATCATTTATTTTTATCAAATATCACAAAAGTACGACTTTATTTTTTTTTCAATTGAAAACTAGATGATTAATTTAATGTAATTGCTATGAATATTTAATGTAACTTGAGAATATATAACTTTGTTAAATCGCTTAGACTTTATATATGGTAGCTTGTTATTTGACTAAAATGCTTATTGCTCGGTGTACCATCTACTCAGTGAAAGAAATCAAGTAAAATTCTCCATGATATCTCATTCTTGTATGCACATGAAGCAACTATCTCCCCATTCTGCAACCAAGTACCAAGTAATCATCCACATTGATAGAGACACACCCAACAAATACGGGCGGGGCTTTTCTGGACCAATAATCCACACTATCTAGGTTTGATTGACTCACCGATGGCAACTTGGTATCTCAGGCTGGTATCCTCGTCATCAATGAAACCACTCTCTCCCCATTCAGCTATCAAGTACTCATCCTCCGCATGAACCGAGACACGCCCAACAAACATGGGTGGCGTGGTGTCCACTACAATTGGTCCAACTTTCTGCGATATCGGAAGCAAAAACTAAATATTGGTATCAAGTCTTCCAGATTTGAGTTGTTTTGTACAAGTCCAAACTCAAGTCAGGCTTACTTTTTGGTGATCGACATACACGCATTCCAGTCTGAAATCACTCATCGTTCATGCCATGCACTTAAAAAAAACTACACTGAAGAAATCTGACAAGCATACATCAAACTGCTTTAAATCTTTTTCTAACAGCAAATTGAAGATGACTTCAGATAAAAAGCACATCTTTGTAACCAAAACAGCTTAGATTCTGTAACGTCTCCGTTTACTATACGTGTAGGCCTATTCATACGTGGGTGAGCATCTAATGAATTCTTCTTTTATCCTTTGGTTATCTGAGATGAACTCGTTAGCTCTAGTATTATTCATCACTTACCTTGATCGTAGACAACTGAGCCTTGTTGACTGCCTTCAAAACCAGATAGAACACAGATCCATGACTGATATGGGGATGGTACATCATAAAGTGATCTTGACCTGATGTTGACCTGAAGGTTACGAGGTCAGGGGTCAGACTTGATGGGTCAGTGCTAAGACCGATCTCGTAGTCATAAATGGAGCTCTCTGCATCCTCTCCGGTCCAGGAGATGGTAATCTGAAATTGGAAACACGACGAAACTATAAAATAAATTCTGCTTCACTACTAATGACTATACAAGTTTAATCACATTTGCCAACGGACGTTGCATACAGTGGTGATAATGTGAAAAGTAACAGTTGAGGGCGCCATTCCTGTTGACCACCTGCATTCCTTGGTGCTTTCCTTTTCAGACAAATATCGATGTGTTCGTTCACCTCATTTGACAATTGGTTGAACAGTCAATCACATCATGTGTTCTCAGCTTTCTGACTGTCATGCTTGTGACATGGGACCTTGGACTTAAATTTTCCAATCTTCACCTTAAGGTGTACTAATGTGTACCTGCTAAATTAACTCTGCAGCTAAAAAAGAATTCAGGACAATTAATGGGCACAGCTTCAAACTCAAAATCATGACATCTGACCACATGACAGGTCCAAAACAAAATGTTAATATGACCAATCGTACATGTTTGTCGGTCGGGAGGAAGAATGTCTGCTGAACGGCTGAGATCCAGAGGCAGTCCAGGTCTTCTTGGGGTATTTGTGTAGTGTCATTGGTGGCAGACATCTCAGGATAAACAGACAAATCATCTACCAGAGCTGCCTTGGAACTGTTGGTAAATTACATCAATCGGCTAACACATATGAGTACACAAAACTCCCGTGGTATTTGAAAAGCATTTATCAAGAACAAGCAGTCAGTTGCGCTTTGCAGAGTCACAAAACTTGAAGGTTAATAGGCAATTATAGAAAACTGTCTTGCATAAGAATATAGTACAACAATCACCCATCTGTTTTAATCATCCACAATTAAGCTAATAAAGCATCAGTTTGATGAGAAAGGAAAAAATCTCAGACTTTCTTTTCCCTACCTGCAGTCACTAGATGCATTAACCAGCTCTATCTTCCTGCGATGCTCGTTGATGAACCACACCCGACCCTCAGCATCCTTAGCCAGACTAGGCCACATCCGGGCATAGCTGATAGCAATCTGGGTCAGCTCTGGAGGGCTGGTATCAATCACGACGCCATCGGAGCACACGGCCTCTGAAGGTTCCATAGCTCGGTTGTAAGCAATGACAGTTACGTAGTAGAGGCCAGGAGAGGGCGCTGCCCAACTTGCACGTGTGGAAGTGGTCCTTATCATCTAAAGAAATTAAGGTATTGTAATAAATTAAATACACTTTTTGTCAAAAATTTGGATGCTAGCTGTTTCCGATTTTTTTGCTTTTGCTATGAGGGGGAAGTTATTTCTACTATTTGTGACAAGGTTCGAGAATGTTAATCGTTAGGGGAAAATCAGAAATTCGCATACTGCTTATATCAAGGAAAAAGGCGTCAGCACAAACTCACATCATCTCTGACCCTTCCAATCGACGCTTCGTCAATCCAGCAGGAGTTGTCAAACAGATACTGGTAGAACTTGACCCCACTCTCCTTGTCAAAGAACCCCTCCCAGTGAGCTGAGAGGTCATTGCCTTCCTGAAAGTCTACCTCATTGGATCCACGTATCCCATCATGCACCACGCCGGCTTGAGGGGCTGATGTGTCGATTGTTACCTGTGGGTCATACATATTGGTTAAGAATAAAGTTGATTACACAGACCAAGTTAAAACTTACTCTGAAAAGCTGTATACTATTGCAAAATAGGCCCACATACCTTGATAGTCTGCGTAGTCATCAGTCTTGCATGGTTGGTAACCGTCAGCGTGATGAAGTAGTCATGGTCGTGCACAATAGTGATATCTCTTTGATGGAAACCATAGTCTGCGGCATAACAGTTACCGATTGGGACACACATGCAGCTTACAGGATCACAAGGCTCGTCGTCCTGTGCCAAGGAACATTACAAATACAGCTTGCTTATTTTTATAAAATAAAAATGCTGTAAGTAATATCTGGAACAGTAATCAATGAAAGTGTATTGGCCTGAGGACATGGCTTATAACGATAGCGTTTATACTTTAGATGGCATGCCTTTCTATCAGCACGTTCTAAAAAATACATTTGAACGTCGCTGTGTTTTGTAATGGAAGATAACTCTCAAATACTAGATGTTTCGAAAATCTATTAAGAAGGTAACATATCAATTTTTGCAAAGAAAATTAATGAGTTCTACTGTGAAGACAGCAACCTCAATTGAATTGTTCATCATGTTAAACAGTTGAGAGTCACCTCAAGAGCCTGGATATACCACCGCAATGATTATGGATGCATGGATTTTGTCTCAATAAATGTGAAGGATTGAACTAACCCTCTGGAGGAGCTTATTTTAATTTTTTTTTTTTTCTTGTTGACAGTTGGACAGTTGCGAGTTATGCAGGACGACACTCGTGAGAATCTCCTCTGCTCACGATTTCAATCGATATGTATGGAACTTCACTTAACAGCTGCTTTGCATTTCCTGTATGTATGTTTGTAATACATTTGAAGTGTAATGGGCCTTATTCACGCGTTGGCCATTTTTGGCGAGTTCCCTGAAAGCATTTCATTAATTGTTAATTGCTAAATGGGATGGCGCCAGATTATTTATGCAGGCACAGTGCAGCCTTACTTTACTGTCATTTTATTTTAAATATGGCTTTAAACATTGGGGAATGTTTAATTACAAACTATAAATATTTCATTGAAGCAGACTGGAATTTATTAGAAATTAACTTGCTTTTATTTCTCCAAAATGTATCATCTTACCTAACTTTCAATTCAATATGGCCGACTCGTGACTAAGGCCCATAATCCTTTAAGATCGTCATTAATTCAGATATTTCTTATTTTAGAACTTTGGGAGGGCGTAGGAAATAGCAAGTCTAATAATATGATTACCGTATTGATTGTCCTCGCTGGGATTGTTTGATGGTCAAGTTCAACCTCAGTTCCAGTGTGATTGTCAAAGAGACGCGTTTCGATGGTTCTTACGCCGCTGTGAATATCATAGGTCCTAAATGCAACACTGGATATAATAGAAGAAATACAAAATATGCAATATCAGGAAAGAAAGCTCTTATGCTTTAACTGGTCACTGTTGTATCAATATTTTAATTAAATGCCAAAAACTGTTTCACTAATGTACCTATATTCTCCCCTTTCTGAAGTATTTGATTGGCCCGTATTTTAGTCTCTGACAACTTTGATTTAGGCCTACTTTTAGTCCGGTATTTAATTAATTTCCATAATGCCGTACAAAGCTGTTTTGGTCATATCCTTACTGCTAAAATAAGGTGACTGGGCGGATTACAACAAAATTCCAGCAGGTTTTTGTAAAATAGGGTCAACTTTCCAGTGAAAATAATCAACCTATAATGGGCAAACAAGTAATTGAATTGTAAGCCATGACCTCAATGTTATACAACGTTTCAAATTCTTTTCCCAGATGCTACTAAGTCATTGCCAATTACAATATTAATCTGCACCCTTTAGGCCTAAGCCAAAGTTGTTGGACCTACATTATGATGTGCTGTACGATAATGCATTCTTATCTATCCCTAAAAAAGCAAGCAGGTGGCAACAAAATGGAGATTATTGCAAGAGGTTTTGGCCATTCTGTGAGCCAGAGCTTTGAGCTGACTGAAAAAAAATGTATCATTTTGTAATTGTATTAAATCCCTGCAGAGTTATAATGAGCTGATTGGTGAACTGAAAGAATGATGGTTAGGCGGCCCATAGGCTTAGTAAAATAACAATTAAAAAAAATACCCCCCCCCCGAAAAAAACGCACTTTTCGATAGTCCTGTGCAAATTTCAACCCAAATGTCCCTGTGGTTAAATAGATATAGGGATTCTAATAAATGTACCTTTAATGTGTATAACATCTGGTGACACCATCCTGACGTACATGAATTTTCATCTATTACACGTCACTGTCACTTTTGTACATACAAAATGTCAAACTAATTATACTTGTAGTTAAATAGTAGATAAAAGGCTTTATAAAGTGCACTTTTAATGTAATGTGGTCATTATGACGTCATCATGACATCAGATACGTTTTCATCTATAACACATCCCTGTTCATTTATAAATTTGCATATTAAGTATCAACCCCAATGACCGTGTGATTTAATAAATAAGGGGCTTCATATAATGCAACTTTAATGTGATTTTCGTCTGTATCACACATATAATGTAAATACTAAGTATAATACCGGTCGTGTATGTAGTTCTGCAAATTTAAGGCTTCAAAATATTCAACTTTAATGTAAAGTAAGTTCACCCCCTAACGAAGTCATCATAACAGCACATCAATGTCCACCTACAATTTATCTATGTGTATATATGCATACAAATTTCCAACCCATTTGGCCGCGGTTAAGCAGATGTAGGCTACATGCATATAATAAACATTATATAATACAGCATGACACCTGATGACATCATAATGGCGTTCATCTGTAACACACCCCTGTCTATTATGCGAACACCAAGTGTCAACACAATCGCACCAGTGGTATTGTAGGTATAGGGCTTTGAAAAATGCACCTTTCATGTAATGTAAGTGGACACCTGATGACTTCACGATGACGTCAATTTCGGCACAAATATATTTCCAGATGCTGCTCAAAGTGTATGCCAAGTATAAAGGCGATCGGATTGATTGACTTTATGAGATTGATGCCTTCAGTAGCCAAAGTGCTGGCAACAAAAATAAGTGTACAAATGCTATGGACAAGAGTCTAAAAAAGTCTTGACAAAAATAAGGGCTTTCTACAAATTGCCGAAACAGCGAAACAAAAGCCGAAGCAAACGGAATACATACCTCATTTCATGCAGATCCCCTGAATTATGAACGGCTAGATTCACCTCCCCGTCCCGTACCAGCCAGAAGTCTTCAATGACAGGCGAGGATGAATCAGCGTGAACCAACACACTGTCCCTCAGAAAGTGACCAGCTAGGTCTCTGGCCTCCACCCAGAACCGAACGGAATCGCCGTCTACTAGGGTCACGTCATAAGTCGCTTGCTTAGTTAAGCCTTCACTGCTCCAGTGGTCTGAGTTGTCGTCACTCACGTTGACAGTGGTCCTGCCACCGCTGTGGTCAATGTCATATACCACGCGGAATTCTGTCACGCCAAAGGCATTGGAGATGGCTGCACGGCCACGAAGTCCAAAGTTTTGATCATAATCTAGGCAGGAAATATAGGCAAAGCAAAAAGTCACCATAGGATGTGATCAATGTTTGACATGAAAATGTCAATGCCCACAATTTTCACAGCGTGCAGTGGTAAGGAACAGCAGTATTTATTTTCGTCAAAGGAAGTATTTTCACCTTACTTTGATTCCGTAAAATCCATTTCTCTGCGAACGTCCGACTACATAATGTACAAGGTCGTTAAGTTTAGTCTGTAACTGTTTTCTGTTCATCAGATGCGATGTGTTACATTCATCCAACAGCAGCTCATTAAACTGAATTAACGGAATTGTCCCTAAACAATAAATTATAAAACTTTGGTGATAATAAAACATTGCCACAAATTCTCATTTGATTTGCATTACCATAAAAATGCTTAAAGTCACAATTTAATTCATTCTCTCAAGTCAAAAATATTCAATTAAACTAAAACATGTTAGATAGAAACAGGTGAACTCTGCTCTCTTTTTTATTTCTTAACCGGACCTTGAATGGAAAGTGGTTCACAGTCGAATGTGTAAAACTTACCAGGATGAATAGTTGCAGGGACATAGGGCCTAATGGGTTTAAGTAAACCTTGGTTGTGATGATATTCGTTGATAAAACGATTCGTCCAATCAAGGTGCACAGATGTCGTCCCTGCGAGGGAATCCAGGTGGGTCAGCCAGACATAGTCGGTTTCTTCCGTGGCTGAGAGTACACGCACAGACGCGTTGCTCTGCGTGAACGTAACGTCACTGTCATTGTCGTCAAAGAACACAAAGCGTCTGCTATGTTTGACATTGCCCGCGTTGTCATAGACACCGAGGACAACAGAGTAAACGCCTGTCGGGATGACAAGAAAGGCGGAGATGTTCTTGTTGGTTACTCACGAGTGAAAATACTATTGATATTGCTAAATTTTACTTTAATTTAGATCAAGGAGTACGACTTGCTCCTACTGTTTAACAAGAACCGCCTTTGCATGTTTTGGGTACGTTCAGTATCACTATTCTATGATACTCCCAACATCAGTAATCTATTATTTGAAACACCCAATTACCTTTAGCTATTACCACAAGTTCTACCAAAAACTGTACTAAACAAACTTGAACAAAGCTGTGTCACAGAGAAAGAGGGATGATGATTTGAATCCATTCCCCGTGGCTATAACCAAAAAGGAAAAAAAAGGACAAACAGCGAGCCAGACGAAATCTTAACAGTAAAGGGTGTCTTGGAGGGACCTCTAATGATGTAACGCGGTCATACTCTTACGATACATATGTTATTTTTAGAGAGTGGCCGAAATGTCGAGAGCTAAAGATGTCTTGTCAGGAGTCTACGGTACAGAAATCTGTCTGGAGTCTACAGTACAGAAATCAACGCTACAGGATTTGTTTGAACTGCCATGCGCCATTTCCACACATTAATACCCTCCCATTGGAACCCAGACGGCTGACAACATTCCAGGTGAGGGGTTTCTAGCTCTTCTATGTAAATTGGGGAAAAAAATTTTTAAAAAATCTTAGCAGATAACTGTATTTCAGTCAAGCAGCGTATTAGTAGACGTTTCAAAGGATCTTTTTTTGAAATTAAAACTAGAGTTTTCTAACAAACAGTTTTAAGTTCCCCAGGTCTTCATCAATCGCTAAGATATGACGATAGCCAATTACTTTTAAAAAGAAAACAAGTGCACAACAGCAAATGATTGTTGCTTCTCGTGGACTTACCAACTTCAGTCAAGGTGACATTTTGACCAGAGCTCGCTATCCCAGAGAAAATGGGGTCGCTGTCGAAGATTTCTGTCATCTCATCGCCATGGCTACCTGACAACTGTCGCACTTCCAGATAGTAGTCCTTGATGCCAGCCACACTGTCTGACCAGCCATCCCAGGTTACAGCCATTGTTGCCTGTTTGAAAAAAAATAATAGTGACAATATGCCTTTGTATCATATCGAGGTAAATTGATTCACAATAAGGCCAAAAAAAAATACCCGGTCTCTTCAAATTAACACGGAAGCTACTACAGCGCCCTCTATTGCCGCCCTCCTCAAATTTTTTGTACCAAGAAGCACCAAGGAATGGGGAAATTGCACCAAGGCAAATGATAAAGGGCACCAGGGCAAATTATGGAGGACACAAATGTATAATATGGACACAAAAAAGCAAAATAGTACGCACCTTGTCTGTACAATTCAAGCTTGAAGAAAAAAACACGTTTATGTTCTTGTAATATCTTATTGACGTTTTTACTGTTTCGACAAAAAAACACAAGGAAGTGATGTGTCCTTAGCTTTTAAGCATTAGCATGACAAATGCTTTTTCTTAAGAAAGTATTGTGCAATGTGTTGATTACCAACCCGCTGTGAACAAGCAAATGGGGAGGTCGACCGTTCATGACATATGCCTCTCCCAGCCTGGCCAGCTATACAAGCAGAATATGTAGTACCCCCATCACCTTATACCATATGCACACCATAGACTATTGTTACCTAACACATCACCCAGATATCCCAAAAGAATTCCCGACATTTTGATAAGGCAATGACCAACACAAAAGAGGGGGTGGTCCCTCTGTCACATATCGAGCTACATATATGTGGCCAGCTATCGTGGCATGTTCATAGATATTGCAGACTGCATGCAAACTGTCAATTATCATGAGTCAATTTATGGTTTGTGGGCATGTGCAACTAGAAGTCTATAAATAGAGACTACTGATCTATGTTAAAATAGTAATGAGTGTTGATTCGGAATGTGGTACATTCTTATGCCGCCTCAGCGAGAAAAGGGTGGCCGTTCAGTTGTCATGTAACACTAACACCTTTTCCAGGACTGAGGAAGTCAGTCTTTGGATTATTTCTTCCATGCATAGTGTTATATCCTTGCCATTGCATTACCAGGTTTTCGTAAATTCCCCAAACTTCACCTGAGAAATAACATTCTCCGTGTCCAGCATTGTGTTCCTACAGCCACTGCCACCCACGCAGTGATACGGCTGAACGAAGTCAAAAGTGAAAGACGGGCTGCCGTATCTTGTGCTGCCGCTGTAGTACCGGGTGATGATGCTGCTATAGCTGTCTCGGTTGTAAAGTTTCATGTAGCCGCCACTGGTTGAAGATACATCAGCCCTCAGTCTGCCGTACCATATCAGTGTTAGAAAGAAAATTTGAAGGACCATTAAGTACTGCACCAAACAAAAACAAAATAAGAAGAAGAATATATAGGCATCGGGTTGGCATAATTTGACTTCAAAGACATGGGCTAGAATTTCATACAGGTTGAAAAATGAATCCTCAGCCCGACCTGATACCGAGTGCTTCTATGAAAATATCCTTCCATGTGTTTCTTGCAACCTTTGAAGATGCACATTTTTCCATCGTCTTACTGTGAAAAGTATTTTCAGACATCCGATCTCATAATACAAGTGCCACTGAGAAAACCGTGATTTTATTATAGGAATTAAGTGATACAAAATCAAGAATACCCAGTGCATAAAAACACAGCATCCACAAGCAGCTGTTTAACTGTTACCGCATTTTGTCCATGCATCCGATCGCTAGGACAGCTTTATATAGACTTACACATCACCGGTAACTGGCGTCCAGCTATTACTGTCGATAGTGAATGTGTTTGCACAGGCTACCAGGCTGGTTGCGGGTTGGTTTTGATTGAAGGACTGTCCACTCGTCGATCTACTACATTGCCACGTGCCTACTTGATATGTTACTCCCCGAACCCCTGGAAAAGAGACGAATTAAACCGGCAAATTCAAATGTTCGGATTATGAAGGGTTTATTCAAATATTTCGTACCCGGTATAATACTCGAGTACTAATTGAGTTCTCTTTTTGTTCTTTAGAGCACTCGTACTCATACTCGTACTCGAATGTCAAAGAACCCGTACTCGAAAAGACGGTATTCGTAATCGGGCAGCAAAGTACTCGTACTCGACATTGGACTCGATCATCAAGGTACTCGTACTCGAATAGCAGAACTCGAAACAAAAAAATGGTAAAGCTTTACTTAGCACGGTCTATAATTTTATCGATACTTTAAGTTTGAAATGGTAATTGGCTTGCGGATACATCGAACTTCCCGACTTTCCTCTACGCATATCTGGAAAAACATAATTAACAGCTGGCCGTGAGTGGGCTTGTATAGCAGTCTAACTGGGCCTGGGCCAATTACGCACAATGACCCATTTGCCGTGTGTGGGCACAATGGCTACTCATGGGCATGAAACGCCGAGGTGTTCCTTATTACATGGTCGTTCGATTAACTTGGGTGACGGGAGCAAGGCCATTTTCCGAACCCCGGTTTCAATTTTAAAGTAATGGGTCTGTTAATGGATGAACGTAAAATATTACGTACCTAGCTATGCGGAATAAAAGTGTCTCTTAAATTCGTGGGTGGTTGATGTTTTCCTCTTTGTGTGTGTGTGGGGGGGGGGGGGACACAATTGTGTAGAGTTTTCAGCCTATCTATGATATTAATAAAACACTGTGATAATCAATTAAAAGCGCATACGTTTTTGTGAATTTACTTACGATTCACAACAGCTGTCACCCCTGCATCCACAACACCCATCCGGACACTTTGGATGTATGGATGTCCACCACTACTAAGGCTTGGTAGTCCAGAGGGCTGGTAGGAGCTAACCCACGTGATTGTTAGGTTTGTGAAGTTTGCTACGTTGGTGAAGACGGTGTCTGTACTGTCCTGAACCGATGGGGATTCCAGCGTGGTTGTTCCAGATATCAGGGTGGCTCGGTGCTCTGATATCACTGGTGCTTCACTGCTGCTCACTGTATTTATGTAATACTCACAAACTAAGTCATGGTATAGGTTTATGTTAAACGTTCTGGCAATACTTCTATATACACTGTTAATATAAAAAAAATCGCTGTTATTTCACAGAGATCTTATGTCAATTTGTATTACAATGGTCATGTTACTGTACAGTGGTTTCTTTGTTGCCAGTAGAGGGCGCAACAACACCTTTTTGAGAATTTACAGAACTGTTGTAAACTGTACAGTACATGTGCTCTGTTGGCGAACAGTTGTTTCTATGTTTCTGCTGTTAGAGAACATGACATGCAGTGTGCCAGTACATAATATATTTGTCTCTTTCAACCATAATGGTGGATTAAGAGTGCTGTATAAAAACAGGGGAAAAAAGGAAAATGCAATGCCTGTATCAAACAAAGTGACGGTCAAACAGCATCTTAATCCAGACAAAACAATGAACCATGTAGCCTTGACATACAGCGGGCAAAACATGCTGGACAACATGTACGTTCACAAGTACTAGCTTAAAGCGCGCGCAACACACACAATTTCAAAGCATTATCCAAATCTTTCGGAAATTGGGCTTGTTCCTGCAAGAGCAAATCCTGAACTAAGGCAGGGACAACACTTGAGTTAGGAACTTAATTTTGACAAGCCCTGCTTTGAAATTGTCTGTGCTGTTCGGTATGTACTTGTACGTACATACTTCCGATCACACGCAGGTCAGGTCTGATAGTGGCCTTTTTTAAGAACAAAATTTTATTCATAAGATGAATTTTTTGCGTCGGGGAGATGTAAATCAAATTCGGCTATGCCCTTCACCGACGTATACACGCTGTGTTACCTCCCGAGTGGAAGTTGAAAAAGTAACTCGCGCGGGTTTCGAACCCACGACCTCTTGCTTTCTAGTGCAGAAGTCTTACCACTTGACCACCGAGCTAACGGGATCGGTTAGCTTGTTCGAATATGGTGTACATAGCAGCGGTTACCGCATTAACTATTCATAAGATGGAAGTTTTGCGTCGGGGTGTGTAAATCAAATTAGGTTTTGCCCTTCACCGACGTATAAACACTGTGTACTCAGTGTGTTGCCTCCCGAGTGAAAGTTGGAAAAAAATCACTCAGGTGGGACTCGAGCCAACGAATTTTTGCGTCGGGGTGAAGTAAATTGAATTAGGGTTTGCCCTAAAAAAAAAATCGTGACAGGTTCAATTAATTTATTTAATCGTTTGAATGTAGGGTTTTCAAATAATATGCAGCATCGATTAAAACAAACAAAAAAATCCAGCATGAGCCAGTTTTCATCAGTTAACCTTTGTTTCTTAACATGGAGGCTGTACAATTACAAACAGTTTCGAGGATACTTAATATTCACTGTATTTAAGCAATAACAACAAATTCTTTGAGCTTTTCGATGATTTTCACAGAGATTTTTGCTTTAAGCCAATGTAAAACAACATATTTTTTTAACAGTGTTTTTTTTTTAATTAGGCAGAGGAAAGTCATGTGGAAATGTTCAGTTTGAATGTTTTTTTATACGGTTTGCCGACATCATCTCCAAAGAATATCCGGGTTTTTCCTTTAGACTAATTTGTCTTTCTTCACATGTTTTTGCCCATTGGGAATGGTTATTCACATGACCTTAAAAAAATACAACTTTTGCAATGAAAAACATGCAATAAGTTTTTAATAAGATTTCATTCTGAAAAAAAAATTATTTAAAAAAAACATAGGAAAGTAACGAAATGAGTGTTTTTGGAGTGAATCAGTGTGAAGAACAATCGACAAAGATTACGATTTATCTAGAAATCTCTACTGAGTCATCACTTACTTCTTCTACAATCAGTTCCCCAGAATCCACTGCTGCAGGTGCACTGGCCATTTGTGCAGGACCCCGGGTAGCAGGCATTGCTGTCACTCCTCCATGAACATTGCTCTGTTAGAGGAAACGTTTTCAATTAGGAAACTCATCAAATCTCTAGAAATTTTTAAGCTTACCCATCTACAAGGAGGACCACAACTTCTCCTAGACTGGAAGAGGCTGTGCGACTGAGGTTCCAACCGAAAAAAAAGTGACATCTTGTCAGTTTCTTCAGGGACGCTTTTAGCAACTATGCGCCTGTACATTCAGATCTCCTGAAACCTAACCCATTGTTGTTCTCATGCATGAATAATAATAATAGTAATACTACATATCTGGTGCTTACATTGCGCTATACCTATACAGTTTCAAAACGCTTCATCATTGTTATTATACCCTGCTCATTGGGCCACTGAAACATTTCAAATACCATCTCAGCTTCCTAGGGAGTATACAGCAATTTAACTCCTGGTTTTGGTATAAGGGTGTGTCCTACATTGATGCATTGTCTCAGCGAAAATATTTGTTTTTGTCCCCAGTATCCCTGATTCTTCAGGTATATAATTCAAACGTTATCACAGGCAGTTTAGTCGCTCCACATTTTTTTCGTGAATTATTTTCTCATATTGCACCCATTTGCACAGTATTAAAGGTGAATGATTGGAGATGGATAAATATTTCGTTCAGTCCGTCTTCATTAAGAGCACGAACCATCATTCGCCTTTGCAGCAATTCGTTTCGATCTGTCACTGAGAATGTGGTGTTTATCTAATTTCGGTCTCTATATTCAAATACGGCACTTGCCGGCCCGCAGTGCGCTTTTCGCAGTTAAAATGCTGACGTTTTATGTAATGCAATCAAGTACATAATGATGGATTTTTGTAAAGCGATTTTGTAAACTGGTCTTTGATTGGCCGATGACGATTTCTGTGTGCATCAGGTGAAACAGTAATTTTTGCATGGTTTGTTGATTTAATCTGTAACATCTTTTGACCAGTTTAACAGTCTATTTTGTATTGAATATTCCTGTGCTTGATCTTTGCCCTTTTTTTTGGGGGGGGGGGGGTTCTCAGCGAATTAAGCGGCTTGTTCCTACCATTCATGTTCAAACTCGTTCCTTAAACGTGTTCATTTAATAATTGTCTCCCCCATGAGGAATATATTGAAGAAAAAAATCTTTCGGAAGAATGGAGGAATAAAGTTGAATTAATTAACAAGCTGCAAACTTACTAATGCACCGGGTCATGGAGTAAGACTTCTTATACGCCGATCCTAGAGATGAGCCGTAATCACCATCACATCTATCGCATCTCTGGTCCGAGTAAGTGCTGCAGTACACCTCAAGGCAATGTGCGATGGCCGTGCACCCTTCAAACAAAATTCATCCAGACTGTATCAACAAAAGTCCCCAAAAGGTACCGAAATAAAGATGCAATTTAAAGGGAATCCCTTGAGAAGGTAAGAGCTAGCCTATTTAAAGGCTTATAAAAAAATCACTCAAATTCCATTCTTGAAGTATTTCAAATAATGAGACAAGGGATTTGTTAATCTGCAGAAGAATCCTTATTGTCACACAGATTTCAATGACCATAATTTCCCGAAACCTTGTTGCCTTTTGCAATGTAGCCATAACCTGTTAAATTCAAGGCACAACAGGCGAAGCCATGAACTGATTTGCGCAGAGGCTGTTAAGGCCGCGTGACTGTCTAGAGGGTTTTGCGTTTGGTTTTTTGGACAAATAAGTTCTCGGAATCGGATATCTCTGCATGTGCACGTGCCCACACGGTGCATAATTATTCTTTACCGCGCTTTTGGTGACACGAACGTTGAATTTACATTGAAATTACACTGATAGGCCAATGTGATTGCAGCTACTTTGTTAAAATCTGCTGAAATAATTTTTCCACCCTAAGGGTTGAGAAGTTATAGAATGAGATTAGGAATAATAAACAAGTGTAAAAAACATTCATGATGATGAGTAATACTCGGCGTACAGGACTGTAGTTCCCATTATTACGTTTGTTGGTGGGTTACCGCTCGGTAGTCCGAAGATCTGATAGTCTGAAGGTTCATTCAGGCGCGGTTCCAAAGCCAATATTTCAGGGGGACTAGCAGGGGTGGATCCAGAAATGTTTGCATGCAGGCATGCTGAAATGCAGACCGGTTTGTTTCACCTAGGGGAGAGGGGGACAGCCCCCCCCCCCTTACAACCGCGCCTGGGGCTCATTAGTCCGATGGTTCGTTAGTCCGAAGTTTCAATATAGTCTGAAGATTCAACATAGTCCGAAAGTTCAATAAAGTCCGAAGGGCTGACAATTTTGGGCCTGTCTCCAACACTTGGGCTGTGAAAAAAAGTGTTCCTGGTAGGATTTTGTCCTCTTGACTTTCTGAGACCACACGTATCCCTGTTGTAGGTTTGGGAGGGTTAAAGCTATATCATTTGCGGTGCTACTAACATGTGTCTTTACTTACGATTACATCGCGGAGAGTAGAAGCCTCGGTTGCAGTAGCTGCAGTAGTCAGGACGGGTACACCGACCTCCATTGGGACATCCGTAAGAACAAATGGCTAGCGACCATTCAATAAAGGGGAAAAGATTAGAAACACCCAATACAAAGGAATAGCACCGATGCAAAATCACTTTGAAGATTTAAAAATATTTCTCTTAAGACACAATTTTACTTATACCTCAACGGTACGTTTCGTTGATTTTATTTTTCCTACATTTCTATTTGGATTTGAAGTTAATATTCTAAAAAAGGGTTCAACTTACGGGTTGGGCAGCGATCTGATTTATGCCCAGTCCATCCTTCACAACACCTGTAACAGCTTATGTACCTGTTTAAACAAAAACAAATAAAATATATATGTTTTACCTGCCAGTGGCCCTGTGTGTTGTCCTGCATACCTTTGTTGATAGCTGTCCGAATTTCCCAACAGATCGGGCATAAGGCATCATAATTATAAGCCTGAAATTCTTGAGTTGTTTCCGAATTGTTTAGTTAAATATGGATCGTTTGACGCGGTTACAATTACAATTGAAAAGTACAATATTGTACAAATTCTGGACACATCCGTCAGCAAGTTCGTTTGTTTTTTTGTTTTTTTTCCTGTATAGAATGTTTATGTGTATCTTTGAGCCGCCCTCTTTGAATTTGTAATGGCGACTTTTTGTAATTCTAGTTTCTAACAACCGGGTCTTAGCAGTAGTTTCATAATATAACATGAGTTTTACATTAAAAACAGTACTCTCTCATTCTATGAGATGAAGTTGAGTATAATGTCAAAAAAGCTTCCCATAGTTGCTTTTGACCAAAAACGGGTGCAAATGAGAAAAAGCGTATCGTGGCTGTTGCCTCACAGGCCTTCTAAAGTCTTCTGTCAGACTACGGTTCAACCTCCATTCCTTCCAAATTGTATGAACATTACTACAGATGCATATGGAAATTACGACGGACCACAAAGTGAGCCGCCACCTTTCCGTCCCCTTCCACCCCAGTCCCGAAGAGCCCAATAAGACCCCGATCCTGATAAGGTACTTGAGAATAAACACTAAATTCAACTTATACAGGACAATAGTTGTTGTGAGCAAACTAGGGCGAACTGATTAAACAAAACTTGGCTTCAATCAAATTTAAACAATTATTATTAAATAATGAATCTATAATCTGCAATTCACAATCCGCAATTCGCAATCCACAATCCGCAGACCGCAATCCGCAATCAACACTCGGCAGGTAAAACCCAAATTTGGGGGTTTCGATTCTGGCAAGCTCTGACTTTAAGGTCTTCTTGGGGTATTCCCAGACAAAAGTCGACACACTTCATGTTAAGTATCTCACCAAACAGCTTTTTGTCTGGTGACCTTCAGACAATACAAGCTGACAAAATGTAGCCCTCAACTCTACTCCTGTCTTTTCCACGTTATCTTGTTATATTCTTAACAGATTCTAAATGTATGCCATTGACCAAAACGACTACCTAACTATCGACTTCTAAGGCACATGTAAATACTAAGGTACCGTAACGAACTGCATAAGCAGTAGGACTCCGCCGGATCAATGTCCGATCCCCGCCGGAGCCCCTTGTTTGGCCAAAAACGTTCACCCTTGGAGCTATCCCTAGAGTACCACCGTTACTAAAGATCACTTTATAAGATGAAAATGTTTCCAATAGTTGAGCTAGAAAAAGCAAATAGGCTTACCTGTATGTGGTGGTGCGACCCCATTTCCAAAATCCAAATTTGGTTTGGTACCTCTGCGAGCATGAGTAACTACAAACAGATCCGCTAAAATAAAAGGTTTAATGTCAATCAATTAAGGACATACCAACTGTTTACTAATAACAACTTCAATCCCAAATATTGTACTTTTAAACTTTAGCTGTGTGAATAGGGTGTGTGTAGGATTCAACAGTTGCTAAGCTGTGTGTGACGCTAGACATTCGAGGAGATGTTTTTGTAAAGTAGGTTTAATACAAACGTTGTGTAAGGTTTTGTTTACTTAATATCCTCAGTTATGGTAGTCTATATCGGGTCTAAGGTCATTCACCCGTTGCACGTCAAAGACATGGTTAAAAAAAACTTTGTCACGCGCTCTGTATCATGTTACGCGACATGCACCCGGCTGTTGTATTACAAACCACTGCATTCAAATTGACCATTCGAACCATTAGTCCTGATGTGGGAATGAAATAATGTCACGATTTATTAAAGTCGACTCCGATTGGCTGGCGCGCGGCTCGAATATATCTGCATGTTTAGACATCAGACATTATACAGGAGACTTGGCTTCGTGGATAATGGGTGATACTCCAACTCCTTACAAAAATGTATCAACTACACAGGCTTGTTTTTTTTGTTTTTGTTACCGTACTCTTAAAGGTAAATTCATGATGAGGTTATGCAAAGGATAATGGTGTGTGCGTCGGTTTCAATTCCACCTTCAAATTGTACCTATTGTTCACTTTTCAATATGGCAAAAACAAATCATGCTCAAACCATTACATGGTTTCAGCAGTAAGTGACAAACTGGCAGGCAAAGCTTCCTGCAAAAATATTAGAAGAGAGAGAGACGTTCAAGAGATATACGACCGATAGGCAAAATGCTTCAGGTTTCAGGACTCCTCCTGTATGACCGTACTCGTTTTCAAAGTAAATGAAAAATCGACTTTGGACAACATGATCTTTATCGGTTTGTAAAATTTCAGGGGCAGCAGACACAAGGCACGCCCCATTCTTCATGATAAAACGAATGATACTGTTTTCATGGGAATGAGCGACTAAGCGGAGGAGCATTAAACTCTAGTTTGACTCATTTGATTAACTTCAATACAATGCAACGTTCCCTTCCTTAATAGTCACCTAGCCTCCAAGGTATCGGGAATCTGTATTCAAGATGAGTAAACCCGGATTAGAACGGCAATCATCCAAGGACTGTCCACCAGCATTTATTCAGCAGGCTAGTTAAGCCATTTATACATGTAGGGAGACCAAGTGCGCCCTCAGTTGTTCGTCCAAAAGTTTCGCGAGTGATTTGCATATCATGACCTTTGTGCTTCCCGCGCATAGGCAACTTGTAACAAGTTTTCTTCTGTGGGACTTGAACAGGGAAGACCACCACAAATTTGGGGCATATATTCTCTCTATTTTATAGGGAGCATGGCTCCGGCCATGCTCCAAATTTATATCATTTTGGAAGGTTAGTATTATAGATTATAGATTTGTGAGAATATTGTGTTCATTTTGAGGCCGGATGATTCACGTCTGTGATTTGTAACATATGTAGCCAGCCGTGTGTTGACATTTGACCTTAATCGTTCTATTTTATTGTGCCTTACATTTATCATGGATTATTGCTTTGTGTAAAGATTATTATCATCTTGACTCTTGTGTGGAAATAATGTAAATACAAGTTCGGTAAGCTCATCTCATTGTTGTCGTCATGACATAGGTTCATAGTTTTACTGGCATATATTTTTAGTGGAACACTCGTCCTCTTTAAATAGAGGGCCGGCCTCCTTTTGCCATCCCGCTACATACATGTGGGAAACATATCACGTGATTGAGAAAATATATAATGTGATTTGAAATAATTTCAAATGGGTTTAGTTAGCTTACACGAGAACGTTCGATTAGCCATTACGTGAGGCTCGTGTCTGCTGCCCCGGCTCGCGAGCGGGTCTCTGGTGACTTCCCGTTCCCGGGTGTATCGACGTAAAAGGACGATTTCGAGGATAACACTATTGAGGATGGCGGGATTTTTAATACAAAAAAAGTACAATGGAGAGTTTTAGGACACATATATTTCAGATTATGACAGGCATTCTATTGGATAGACAAAATTTGTTTTATGATATATTCCGATAACATCGTCGATTTTCGAAACGCATTTATATTTTATTTATGTGTGCATCCAATATCCAACAATGGAGGCCTGCCATTTAGAGGTATCATTTAAACAAATACAAGTAGAGCAAACTGTGTTTGCTGAACAGAGCATATATTTTCCGCACTTTACATTTTGGAAACTTTTGTTTCCATTATTGACGCCATTATTACTGTAGCGGCCAAACTCAGATAGATTTCTTATTTTTTGCCAAGTGAGGGCGCTGTACCGGGAAGAATGTAGCTAAGCAAAAAAGCAACATGGCTTCAGCTCGATCTCGATAGAGTTTGCGACTTGTGTAATTCTTCGCCCAAAGTATTAATCTGGCCAAGGTTTATTAAACGGTTCGTTACTCTTAAATAATTTATATTAATGATTCAGTGATAAGTGTGATATTTAGTGATATTTTCTAAGCCTAAAAGTTGTATTTTCAACACGTGTATTTTCTTAAACATTGCTTTACGTTTGGACATTTGTGTGCATGTATATAACATGTACATGTAAGTGATATGTAATTTGAGCTGATTCTTTAAATTAGATTACACAAACTCTGGATAACTTCTTGTAACACATACATTTTATTTTCTGTTTGTACAACTACCAAAACTGTAAGAATTTGTACAAGTCAATATAATTTTCTGGATCTGTGCACAGCATTTTAGTCAGTAATCTTTGGCAGATTCATTATTGACGTTTACCACCAGGATGGATAAGGGGGCAGAAGACCTTACCACGCAAGGAGCTACATGTCATGACCATGAGAAAGTTGACATGGACAGTGAAGATGCTGCTTTACATGAATCATCGAGGGCAACAATGCACACAGAAAAAGGGACTTGCCTACCAAAAGGACATGAAAGCAAAGCGCGTGTCACAGCTGTTCAGGCAAATAAAGTCGAAAACTGAAAGGCTTGAACTTCTCATGAATGAAAAGCATGACCAAAGTGAAGTACTCGCTGAATATAAGGAATGGATGTCAACTTACGAGGACTTGCTCAAAGAAGTTCTTCAACAGGGAAACGGTCCGGTCACAGAAAGAACAAGATGTCGGAGTTCCATGCCAATACCATGGCACCAAAGACAGCGAAAACCTGACAAGCATATCACGCATGAGTGGAAGGGGCTCAAGAGCTTCCATTGCCAGCGCTGTATCATCGGCACGACTCAAGGCGGAACAGAAGAAAGCAGCTTTGGAGGCAAGAATAAATGTCAATAATGACCATTCTGTTTCAGCTCAAGGTGACAAGCACTGTGACAGCAACTGAAGTGAAACTGGCATGTCAGGTGACAACGCTCTTCTTGCAGTTGTCAGACAACTGAAAAGGCCTACTCCTGAGATCGAGCGGTTTAGTGGGAAACGAGTTGACTACCGGAAATTCATCCGGCAGTTCAACACTAAAGTCGCAGTGCATACTGATAATGACGATGACCGAATGAGCTACTTGTAGAAGTTTACTACTGGAGAGGCATATAAAGTTGTCTCAGGTTTCAGCCATCTTCCTGCTAAGCAAGGATACCCTGCAGCTCTAAAAAAAATTGGCATCTAGATATGGAGACGTGCATCTCATGGCCCATTCCTTCATCAAGAAAGCGCTCGATTGGCCATGTGTTCGTCCGGACAACCCGAAGGCACTTGGTGACTTCTCAATTCTGCTGGTTGAATGTGAAAATGCTGTAAGATGCATTCAAGCAGTGAAGGTCCTCGAGTACCCCGACAACATGAGGAAGTTGGTGGGTAAACTACCATTCTATCTTCATGACATTCTATCTGCAGACAAAGGCGAGACTGTCCAATTTAGCCAACTGGTTCGATTTGTAAAGATGGAGGCAAAGAAGGTGTTGGATCCCATGTACGGCAGAGAGGCACTGAGCCAAGATGTAAAAGGTACAGGGGCAAAGGTCGTCACCAAACACACTAATCGTTCAAGGGGCAGCTTTGCAACCGAGGTTTCAAGTGGCCAATCCGAGCAGACATGGTGTAACAGAGAAGGAGACAACAGGTCGACAGCAGTAAAGTCTGGCAATGAAATGAAGAACGTGTGCATATATTGCACTGACACAGGCCATCTTACTGACAAGTGCAAGCGTCTGTCCAGTTTGCCTCTGTCTGAAAGAACAGAGTTTGCAAAATCCAAAGGTCTATGTTACGGATGTCTCAAGCGTGGTCACCAGAGTAAGGAGTGTCGCGATAGATCCACTTGTCACATTTGCAAACGTCGACATCCAACCTGCCTCCACGATGAGAACAGTGTTCCCAAGCTTTAGTCAAAGCGTAATCCAGATGGCAGCAGTGGGCAGTGTGCAAACTTTGCAAAGCATGCAGGTGGTAATACGAGGGCCGGTCGGCAGGGTCAATGCACCATGGCAATTGTACCAGTTAAAGTCCGGCTGAGAGATGGTATCAAGGCTGTTCAAACGTACGCATTTATGGATCCTGGAAGCACCGTTACCTTCTGTAGTGAGAGTCTAGCCCGACAGTTGGGAGCAAGTGGTCCATGTAAATCCATTACATTGGACACCATGGGTAAGCCCTACTCCATGAAGAAGTATCTCATCGACGGGCTTAAGGTCAGCGACTTGGACATGACGAACGAGATTAATCTTCCAGTCACGTATACCAAAGACACAATTCCAGTTTCCCAGCACCATATCCCAAAGACTGATTACATCTCCAGATGGGACCATCTTAAAGACATCAGCTTGCCTGAAATAGATGCAGACATTGGACTCCTGATTGGTAACAATGTGGCAGACGCCTTCACCCCGTTTGATCTGAAAACTGGTCCAGCAGGTAGCCCTCATGCTGCAAGAACTATGCTCGGTTGGGTGGTTTGGAATGTGATGAGAGACGCTGAACAAGTACAGAGTGACATAAGTTGTAGTTACTACAAATGCCAATCTC